GAACAGCTGCGGGGGGAGGCAGGGGATTTTCATTTGTGGGAAAAGAGGGCAAGAGGGATTTATGCCTAAAAAAGCCAACCCACCAAAGCAACCGATTATTTTGCTCATTTGGAAAAGCTATTTTTGGGAACTATTTGCCTCTAGGTGCTCCAAGTATACTATATAGCTTTTGGTTTTTTTATCACAAGAATGCTATAATACTAAAGTCAATTTTAATAGATTAAAAAACCTATTCATATTCACATCACCCTAAACATCAGCTATTTTGATATCTGAGTCCTTGTACCATCCTTGTCAATAAAACTGGATAATTCTACGAGCAAAAATAACTTATGCATAATACATTTTAGTCTTTAATCTAAATAAGATAATTTTAGATTTATGAAAGTTTGTATCAATGAACGTGTTCATATTTCAATTTTTCCTACATTTCCATTATTTCTTTGCATCCCCTCTCCCAAATTTGAAATAAAAACATTCTCTTAAAAAAACCAGTATTTTCCCACATCCTGTTTGTTTCTAGAAACTTTATACCTTCAAGTAGGAGAGATCCTTCCACTGTCACCCTGTACCTCCTCCCATTGCAAGCGGTTTACCTCCGGTGTCTAATGATGGCCAAGATCAGGGACCTGACTGAGAAGTAGCACAGCAGTGTACATTTTGGCTTTGTTACTTACTACGTAGTCTCCCTTTATCCATGGTTTTGCTTTCCACAGTTTCTGTCACCCTCGGTCAACTGTGGTCTGAAATATTGAATGGAAAATTACATAAATTAACAATTCATTAGTTTTAAATTGCATGCTGTTCTGAATAGCGTGATGAAATCTCTTGTCATCTGCTGTCCTCCTTCTCTGTCCTGCTTGGGATGTGAATCATCCCTTTGTCCAGGGTTTCCATGCTGTAAAGACTCCCTTCCTGTTAGTTACTTAGCAGCCATCTCTCAAGGTATCCCAGTGCTTGTGTTCGAGTAACTCTTATTTTAATTATGGCCCCAAAGCAAAAGAGTAGTGATGCTGGTAATTTGGATATGTCAAAGAGAAGCTGTAAAATGCTTCTTTTAAGTGAAAAGGTAAGTATAGAAAGATATTTTGAGAGAGAAACCACATTCATATAACTTTTATTACAGTATATTGTTATAATTGTTCTATTTTATTATTGTTGTAGTACTCTCTTACTTCACCTAATTTATAAATTAAACTGTAGCGTACGTATGTGTATATAGGAAAAAGATAGTATATATAGGGTTTAGCACTGTCTGTGGTTTCAGGCATCCACTGGGGGTCTTGGGCCATATCCTTGAGGATAAAGGGGGACTACTGTATTCACATAGCTTGGTTTACTCATCTGTAAAATAATCACATGATATCTATCTGAGAGGATTGTTTTGAGGAGTAAATGACTGAAAGAATTTTACATTATGCCCTATTTGGAACATCAAATAAATTGTAATTGTATTAGTTTCTGCGTCTTGTGTAACAAATTACCACAAATGGGATGGCTTAAAACAACAGACATTTATTCTCTCACAGTTTAGGAGATCAGAAGTCTGAAATCAAGGGGTTGGCAGGGTTGGTTCCTGAGAGAAGCTTTGAGGGAGAATCTGTTCCATGCTACCTCACAGCTTCTGGTGGTTGCTTGCCATTCCTTGGCTTGTAGCTGCATCCCTTCAATTTTTGCCTTTGTCATAACATTCTTCCGTGTGTATCTGAGTCCTGTCCTTATAAGAACACCAGTCATTGGGTTTAGAGCCCATCCTAATCTGGTAATGACGTCCTCTTAACTAATTACATCTGCAAAGACTCTACTTCCAAATAAAGAACATTCTGAGGTTTGAGGAGGATGTGAATTTTTGGGGGGACACTATTCAACTTCCTATAGTAACCATCATTGTGAAAACATGAAAGAACATGACCTGTTGCTCTCCTCTGTACTGGCCAAGCCTTGCAGAGCATCAAGGAGAATGCAGAATGTCCCAAGGCTTTCCTGGAAAGAAATATACTTTCTCTTAAATTATAAAATCTCCTGTCTATAATGCAGTCCAAGGCAATTCGCATGCCTTCCCTGAATATCTCATTTCCTTTTCTGTGAAACAGGAGCTTATCAACCAAAGGATACTGATCAACTCTGTACATGACACCTGTAGCACCCAATAATAACCAATGATTATCCTTGAGATTTCTTATGGATCTGGGGAGATCTACCATGATTTTGGAGCATTCCAGTGATGCACACTCAATTCTCAGATGACCTCATAAATCAAACACTCACACAGAGAAGAAAAATAAACTCTTGTAACTACCAGGCTCTGTAGGAGAGAGACACTGTCATGGCTAGACTAAGTCCTTTAAGTGGGTGTCTATCTGCTAAGGTGTCATGTTTCTCTTCCCCTGGCTCTTCACAGAGACTGGGAGAAAAGAGAAGGAAAGCAGGGAGACAAGAGAAAAGCAGCAGTCCTGTTTACGGAATGACAGAAGCAGAGCTCATGGTTGTTTGGTGGTGGTTGTTTTCCTGGCTCTGAGAAGATCTCGCATTCCCATTTCCAGTTCTTGGCAAGAGAATCTGTTCTTGGGGAGTGACCAGGTTCCATCGTTGCTCCTAGCTACAAGTTAAAGCCACAGAACAAGTTGTTAAGTCCCTGTTCTCATCACAAGGCTTTGTGTTCATGTCATTTTGCATCTTTTTAAAATCCACAGGAAGTGAGGCTCTACACCTAATCCACTTACCTGCTACGAGCAACGTAACAGAGAATGCTCTACCTGAGACTTCAGTGCACAAGTTTTCTGTGAAATTATCAGCATCACTGTCACCTGTGATCTCACGGTTTCCCCTAATAATCAACTCGAATCCTCTCACCGAAGCCTTCAGGGTGAACAGGCTGTCAGACACTGACTTTGAGGTAAGTACCATCTTATTCGCAATGGGAGCTATCTGCGAAGAGGGGTCCTGAAGATGAGGGGCAGGTGTGATTCTAGATCAGTGGTCATTTCCTCCTCTTTAATATTCCCTCTTGTAAGATCAGGAAGTCCCGTTTGGGGCATCTTCGAACCTTCTGTGCTAGAAGCCCCTCTAGCCTTTGAACCTTTTTTCTCTACTTAATCCAGTCCAACTGAACATTATGCTCAATTTGTTGCAAATAAAAGGCTTGTTTCTTATTGCCGACCACCTTCGCATGATATCAAGTGTTAGGTGTGCTGACAGAAACTAGATTCTTTGTGTGGAATAGTTTGAATATTGATCTTCTTAAAGGCCAGACCCTGATAAACTTGTGTCTGGTGATTTTGCTTTCCTATGATTCTTACTATGAATTGTTCAGAAAGAAATCTATGAGGAAACTTATTTAATACGGAAGAACACACCCTTAGTAAAAATATAAGTGTAAATGTCCAGCCCTACTCTGTGAATGTTTCCTCTTGGATAATTCAGACCCAATCATCCACATTCAAGAGCCAAGACACCACTGCTCTGTTTTCTAGTTTGTCATTTGAATCTTTCCAATGTTTTCATCCTCCTTAGGCAGGACAAATCTGATCATCGCATGTTTTCCACTAGTAACCTCAGAGGCCTTCTAAGGATGTTTTTAGGATCCAGGTGTCTGGACCTACTTATAATTCATTGTCCCCCACCTCCACCCTTTCCTCAGCTGGCATAGGAACCTCCCACAGTTATCATCAGCCCTGCCCCTGGTCTTGACTGCCATTGCTGTGGGGTTCTGGTCGGACCCAGTGGGATCAGCCTGCTTGGCCTAGGCACGGTTGCCTCCCTGCGGTACATACTGGGTGTTCTCAAACCCAGCTGACCATCAGAGTCACTGTGGAACCCATGACTTAAGGGCCAGAGCCCGAGCATCTGGTATTCTCAGCACCCAAGGGGTAGGTCCTCAGGTATGTAAGGAGCACACATTCAGGTGGCTTCCCCTCAGCATGCAGTGTACATTCCCAGGTCCCAGATGCTGGTTCTGTGACTTATCCGCACTATCTATCTGCTCCCTTGACGTCTGCCTCTTCTTTAACAGCTGTTGCTAGTCTGTTTCTATAAGCCTTGCCAATTGCTTATACTTAGAGAGCATGCAGTATATGCCAGACACAGTTGAACATGCTTTACACATGTTTACTCTCAATTTTTATTTGTACTATTTTATCTGTATTATTCCATAATTTTATTTGTGTTATTACCCCCTCTTTACAATGGGTAAAATGAAACAAAATTTAACAATAAGGTTAAATAACTTGCCCTGGGTTTACAAGCTGTTAGGTAGCTGAGCTGAAATTGGAATCCAGGCAGTCTGACTTCAGAGCTCTCACCATAATTTGACAATGGCTTTATTGAGATATAATTCACATAGCATACAATTCACCCACTGAAAGTGTACAGTTCAGTGGTTTTTATGATATTCTCAGACCATCACTACAATCTAATGTTAGAATATTTTAATCACTCCAAAATGAAATCCTGACTCCATTAGCAGTCATTTCCCTGCCTCTACCCCTTCAGTCCCTGACAACCACCAATCTACCTTCTGTTTTAATGGATTTACCTATTCTGAACATTTCATATGAATGGAATCATATTATATATGGTTGTTTATGATTGACTTCTTTCCTATAAGCATAAAATATCATAGCATGGATCAGTACTTTATTCCTTTTTATGGCTGAATAATATTCCACTGTATGGACATACCGAATTTTGTCTATTTATCAGTTGACAGATATTTGGGTTGTTTCCACTTGAGAGCTCTCATTCACAGTCTCTATAGTCTACTGCCTTTAATGATAATGATGATCATGCTGCTTCAAATTTGCAGAGGTTCCAAAGCACATTCATAGCTTGATTGTTACTTGGTTGTTAACTACTAACTGATATTATCACCATTTAAATATTTTTTTATTTCTAATTTAGAAAAAAGATAACAAAGAGACAGCAAGGTTAATTGATTTTTCCAAGATCACATAGCCATAAAGGATGAAATAAAAACTTAACTCAGGTCTTCTGACTCCCAATCTTAGGCTCTTTCTCCTGCATTGCCATGCATAACTGCTGCTATTTTGATGAGCGCCCAAGTCCTTCTCTATGGGACATGGCCTTCCCACACGCCATGCAGTTCAAGCAGAGCTGTCAGTCAAGAAAGAATTCTAGCCTGTTCCTGACCTCTAGAAATGGCGAATTTCTTAGCCCTTCAATTGATCTAGGCTCAAGTGTTCACCATATTGTTCCTGTTTTGGTGCCCTCCTGGCACCACAGTCTGCAGTTGATACTAGGATGGCCATGGCTGTGGGCAAACATGGGAGAAGTGGCTCCTCCTTGGGCAACCTTGACACTCTACAGGATAATGAATCTCACAGTGAAGTTTTTGGGCCTGTAGCCTAGAGGTCTGGTCAGTGTTGGCTTTGGGACTCTGTTGCGCAGAGCTTTCTGAGGGTGACCTTTAATCATGACAGAAGCCAGGCCTCTCTGCTTTCAAACACAGCTGTTGAGACTTCTGGTGATGTTGGGGTGGGAGGGGAGGAGGATGGATAAGAACGAGGATAATGATGATGATGATGATGATAAGAGCTCGCATTTATGAACCATTTACCATATATTAGGAATTCCCTTGAACATTTTGTAAACTCACTCATTTAATCCTCATAACAACACTATGAAATGGTGTACTATTATATGCATGTTAAAGGTGGGGAAACTGAGGCACAGAGAAGTCGAGCAACTTGCTCAAGTTCACATAGCTAATTGGTGGCAGACTTGAGGTTTGAGATCAGGCAGGCTGGCCCCAAGAGCCCTCGCTCATTACCACCCCACTGCTGGCTCGCTATTGCCCAGCAAGAGAGATGCCAGAGCCTCATTGGTCCATGTGACTGATCATTGGTCAAAAGATTTTCTCCTAGAGCAGCACCAAGAAGGATAGCTCTGAGAAGCCAGGGAGGTGTGACAGTGGGCTCAGCAGCATAAAAACTGGAGCTCTCTGAGGTCAAGTGGAGGCCACATCTGTCCCTCTTCCATTTGCCTGTCTCGGAGCATGACTCTGCTCTGTTCTCATCTACTGTCATGAGCGCTGTGGTATAAATCAGGAAACAGAGGCAGCTGCTCTGGTAAAATTACCTTCCCTAAACAGTTTTTTCCCTAAACAGTAAATATGCTCAGCCTAGTCCAGACAGACCTCGAACTTAATATGCCTTAAACCAGACTTACTGCCTTTCACAAAAACTGCGGCCAGATTGCCCGCAACCAAATCAAGATTCCCCGCAACCAAATCAAGATTCCCCCATTCTCAGTTGTGGCCTTTTGCAGTTCCTTCTCTATTCTGTTCTAGTCTCCTTATGTATGAAATTAGGAGACTTTTTACTAACCTATTGTTGTTGTGATAAATATTAAAATACCTAACAAAATGGCTTGGCAAGAGCCTGGCATGCAAACGTTTAATAAATGCCGGTAACAACAAGAACAAAAACAACTTTTCCATTTGTGTTGATAGCAACCCAATTCCTTTGGTTCCAAGATACAACATTTTTGGATCTTTTCTGATTGCTCTATTTCCTTCCTCTGGGGTATTAAATCTCGTTCCCAAGGGAAAGGGGCTGTCAATAGGCAATATTGTGGTAAAGGACCTGTCCAGGCTTGGGGTTCAGGAGAGGACTCTAAGCTTAGCAGGAAGCTAGGGTATAAATCAGGAAACAGAGGCAGCTGCTCTGGTAAAATTACCTTCCCTAAACAGTTTTTCCTGAGGGTTTGCTCAGTGCCAGTCATCTAGGTATTCCATGGATTAGATCATTTAATCCTCACAAAAGCCCTATAAAGCGGATGTTCTTTTTATCTCCATTTTACAAATGGGGAAACTGAGGCTACAGGAAGGTTAAGTAATGGGAAGGCTGGGCTCAGATTCTATGCTCTTTACCGCTATGTTATACCGCCTCTTATTTACCACATGCCAACCATTGATACGGGTCATCTCCACTTGTGTGTATTATCAGGCTGATCCTGCTTGTGGATGGAGGCAAGGCTACCTCGTTTTTCCTCTCAACACTCCTTCGTACATTCTCCCTCCACTACACATACTCATTCACGCTGATGGCTGTCCTCTCTTAACCAATCCAGATCTTGCAAAGTCAAACATGATACTCGCTGCCTTCTCCATGAAGCCTTCTCTGACTAAACACAGCTTACAATGAACTCTCTTCCTTCTGATTTTCCATAGTACCCTGATCTAGCTCTTTGTTATAATAACCTTATATTATAACACGTCTGTTTAACCATGGCAAAAATTAACTTACCTAATTCTAATTATGAGGAAACAAAATCAAGAAATGGTGAAGTGACTCTCCCAAGGTCACACAGAAGTTCAGCGGTGGAAACGGAATCAGACCTAAGCGCTTTCCTCACTACAGGATACTGAATGCCTCACTGTCAGGCCCAAGTTGTACTAATAACTAAAAGTTTCTATTAGCATAATTAAAACATTTAATCCTTAATGTCCCAAAAGACTCTGTGCCTTCTGGCAGCTCACCAACAGGGATGTAGATGTTAGAGGTCAGAGACTGGCCTCCAGTTAGCCTAGCCTCCACAGAACCCTCCTACCATGGACCGCCTGGGCTCCTCCTAGCAAAAGTCTAGATTCTGGTGATATCTCTCTGGCGCTGGTTCTTGGTATCCCTCTCACATCTCCAAAACACCTGTAGTGCCAAGAACAATGTTCCAACACTGGAAGAAAGTATGGGAAGGCACACACACAAAACTAAACAGGCAGCTGATGTTAGTAAATATCATTCCTTATTTCTGCAGATGTATCCTTTGCTTGTTTATTCTTGGAAGTGGCCTTGGGAAAATTAGAATGGAGTGATGAGTCAAGATGTAATTTAATAGCAGTCCCAGGAAAGTGTAGCATCTTGTTCTGAAAGATGAGAAAATCCTGCTACATTTTGAGTTGTTAAAGGACTTGTCTAGGAGCCTACCCCAAGTAGCGATAGGTTTTTAAATTCTTGGGCTATCCATCTCTAGTCGATGCAACCAAAATTTCTCCTGAATATTTTTCTTTCCTGTGAAAAGCAGCATCATACACAGCAGTCCCTTTAGTGAAGGGTTGCGGGGCTTATGTTTGGAAGGACTAAGGCAAACTACCCGTTCCTTTGAATGTGAGTGAAAAATGGTTTCCAGGATGCTGGTTGCTTCCTTCTTAGTAATATCCCTTTGCAAAACTCAAGCATACAAAGCAGGCCTCTTCCATGTGATTACTAAGAAATCTGCGTTTACTTTTAGGTTGTCACCACTGGGAAGGAGCAACTAGATTTTGAAACAGGACCAAAGATATTTGATTTGCAAATTTACATTAAGGATGATGTTGGTGCCACTGACCTGCAGGTCCTAACTGTCCAGGTAACAGATGTGAATGAGCCACCTCAGTTTCTAGGCAACTTGGCCAAAGGTAAGATACACTGGGGTGTGCAATGAAACCCAGACGGTGGCACAGGGAAGACCCTGGGGGATGGAGAAAAACAGAAAAGTAAATAAACAAGCAGCTGTTTCCCTGAAAAAGGCAGCTGCTTAATGAGCAGGGAATAAATAAAATGTCCTTCAGCCCAGGACTCCCAATAATTGTGCCCAGCAATTTACAAAGCCCTTCACAACCACGGTTTCTCTTAGGCGTCTCTTAGTCCTGGGGAGGCAGCTGAGGATCAGGACCTCAGGTAGATCGTTCTGGAGGAACCTGGGCCAAGCTCATCGGGCTCATCACTGCACACTAGTCATCGACTGACTTGTTCATTCTCTCCATGGATGCTGATGCCTTGAGGGCAGTGTGTGTGTGGCATCTGCCACAGAGTAGAGACAATACACATAAGAGTGAAGGGTAACTTCCTGCACGATCTCCCCCAGGCTCATGGCTGCCACAGAGTAGAGACAATACACATAAGAGTGATCTCCCCCAAGCTCATGGCTTTGAATGCCATTCATACTAACAACCTCCAAGTCTATGTTTTAGTTCAGGTTCTCCTCTGAACTGCCTCAAATATCCAAATGTCTTACCTAACACCTCTACTTTGATAACTAATAGACATCTGTAATATTGTGATTTATAATAAAAAATGTATATATTTGGTCTTCCTCTGTTTCTGACGCAAAGCTCCTAAAACCCTTGGATTTCTTGTGATGAGAGTAATAAAGGTATCTTTTCTTATGTTAATGATGTGGCATTTGAAATGCTCCTAGGTCACCTAAGTATGGCAATTGTGGCCAGTGGAGCCAATCATGTATTTGGAGGGTTGGAACTTTCAGTCCCCTCCACACACACTCTCTCACCCACTGCCACCACTGCAGGAGGGGAGACTGAGTTCAATCACCAATGGCCAATGATTTAACAAATTATGCCCGTGTGTTGAAGCCTCCGTAAAAATTCAAAAGGGTGGGGCTCAGAGAGCTTCCAGATTGGTGGAGATTCAGAGTGGTATGCCTGGAGAGCTGGAAATTCAGTGCTTTTTCTCTACTTTGTGCCCTATGAACCTCTTCCATCTGGCTGTTCCTGAGTTATATCCTTTCATAATAAACCAGTAATCAAGTAAGTAAAATGTTTCCTTGAGTTCTGTGATTCCCTCTAGCAAACTGAGCCCAAAGTGGGGGTGTGGGTGGGGTGGGGGGGTGTAGAAACCTCAGATCTATAGCTGGTGGGTCAGAAGCATAGGTGACAACCTAAACTTGAATTGAGCTAAATTGTAGAACATCCAGCTGGTGTCAGAGAATTGCTTGATGGTATAAGAACCAGCCCCCCCACCCCACACCCATACACACACACACACACTGGAATTGGTGTCAGAATATGAAATCTCAAACTTAACATGTTCCTAAACCAAATTCTTGACTCCTACTCCACCCCTCCGACCCCCACCATCCCCACCCAAAGCTGCTTTTCCTGTTTTTCCTATTTAAATGAATGGCAACTTCATTCTTCCAGTAGCTTGGACCAAAACAATGAAGTCAACTTTGACTTCTTTCTGTCTCTCACACCCAAGGTAAAATCCATTAGGAAATCTTACCAACTTCTAAACCTGTGCAGAATCCTACTTGTCCCTAGCCTGTTCACCACTACCTCCACTAGTCATGTCTCGCTTGGGTTGCTGCAGTGGCTGGCTAACTGGGCTCTCTGCTCTGCCCTTGCCCTCTGCTGTTGATTCTCCATATAGTGGCCAGAGGGATCCTGTTATACATCACTTAAATCAAGGCACTCCTTTGCTTAAAACTCTGCAAGAAACTTTCCATCTCAGTCAAAAGGAGAGTGAGAGTCTCTTTAAGGCCCCAGCAAATCGGCAAGCCCATACAACCCTCACGGCCTGCCATGTCTTTCCCACACATCTCCTGGTCACCTGCTCTGCACCAGCAGTCCTGGCCTGCTCACCCATCTGTGAGTACTCCAGGCACGACCCTACCTTGGCATCTTGGCATTTGCTCTTTCCTCCTCCCCTTCCCCGGTAACTCTATGGCTCTCCCACATTTCTTTGAGAATTTTGGTTCAAATGTCAACAAACCTTTCATAAGCACTCTATTTCACAATGTAACCCAACTCAACAACACTTCTTTCCCTGATTTTTCTTCACGATGTTGTTCAATAACTTGCACACATTCTACTCATTTATTTTATTATCGATAAAATAAATATTTTATTATTGATATCTCCGCACGAGAATGCAAGCTCATGTGAGCAGGGTTTTGTGTTTTGTCAACTGCTGTATGCCCAATGTGTAGATCAGTAAACATTTGTTTAGTGAAAGCATGAGCAGAGATAAAGTGAATGAAGGCTGAAGATAAGCTGTAAGATGGCTCGAGTTCAAATTTTGATTCTATTCCTTACTGACTGAGGCAACCTCAATACTTCTCTGAGCCTGTTTTCTTATTTATAAAGTGGAAAAAATTACAATGCCTACTTTCTAGGGCTGTTAAAGGAGGGAACATATGTTAAGTCCTCAGCACAGTGCCTCAGAACAGAGTGAGTTAATGTTAACATTCTCAGTCATCTCTCAGAGAGATTCTCAGAAGGAGATGCCAGAGAGAGAGCATGACAACTCCTCAGGCAGGACTGGTGGTACCAAGTGACACTGCCTGCTCTTCCCTCCCTCTGACATCCAGGAACTCTGAAGTAGATGAAATCAATTTTTTGTACCCTTTCCTGAGCCTCTGCAGCCCTCTCTCCCCTCTGATTTAGTCTCTTCTCTATTCTATTTAAGGCCTCTCATTTTAGGGACTCGTTTCTGCTAAGATGCTAAGTGCACTTCAAGGGGCGACCTTAGCTCTGTTCAGAAGGAATCTGCACATGAAAGGGGATCTGGAACATGGGGCAGCCTCATCCTGGATGTTCCTACCTGTGGTTACTTTCCAACTCTCTTATCATCTCCCTCTCCCCCACCAAACAATAGTACCTTAGGTCACCTCTCATTGGAGGAAATATGTGAAGACTTGATGACAGCTTGGCCAACCCTAGCACTTAATTAATTCCCATAAACAAATCTACTCCTGCAAGTTGGCTATGGTCTCCCTTATGGCCTTTATTATTCCTGCCCTCTTTCCCACAGTGCCAAAGTGCTTGGTTTACTTGGCCGTGTTTGGTTTCCTTTGGTTTCCTTTGGCTGCTCTGGTTTTGGAATTCCTTGTTTGCTTTATCTAATAAAATGTTTCTTATTTCACTGTGATGTGGGTATAGGTCAAGACCTCTACATAGTGGAAGGAGCAAACCCTGGATTCATTTACCAGGTTGAGGCCTTCGATCCAGAAGACACAAGTCGAAACATACCCCTCAGTGTAAGTCTCCTTGTTAAACTTCTCCACGTTGCTTTTGATTCAGGAGCCTGGCATCTCGGCAGGGTGGGCCTGGGCAGTGACAAGGGGAGGAATATGCTGCCAAAGCATGGAGGACAGAGGAGGTTGGAATGGGTAAAGGGGTTCTGGAGACAGACACCCCAGATGGGCTACATGGTTCTGTGTGATCTTGGACAAATTCTTAACCTCTCTGAGCTTCAATTTCTTCATCTGTCAAATGGAAGAATAATAATACCTACCACAGTAAGGGGATTGTAAATATTAGAGAATGCATGAAAAGCCACTTAGCACAGTGCCTGGCATACTGAAATCGCTCAATATTTTTTAATTCTAAGGTAATAAAAATCCAGGTATATATTTTTAAAATAAGCATAAATTGTATACTCTAAAGAGAGGCATTAACACTTCCTTTTCAGAGATGAAACCAAGCTGCTTGGAGGCAAGTTAAAAAAAAAAAAATTAAAAGAGAGTCCCAAGAATTCCAAAGAAAAAGAGGAATTCTATACAGGAAAGCAGGGGATTCTGTCCTGGAGAGTTGCCTCATGGTTCAGTTTGAGACAACTGCTCTCTCTTCTTTTCCTTTTTAAATCAGTTTCCTTTGATGGAGCTGCCAGTGGAGCTCTTGTAACTATCAAATCTCAGGTGAAGAAGCCTCTTAGCTTGTCCCTGGGCAAGGATGCCCCAGCGCTACCTCTGCCCACCAGAGCGGACGTGGGCACCCACCGCAGCTGGGCAGCCCCGGTTGAAGAGAATAATGTCACTGGACTAACCTTGGAGCAGGCAACACTCCTGCAAACCCCGCCTTACAGAGGAGAGAATACTTGAAATACGACACTCGGGGAATTGGTAACACCAGGAGGCTGTTTCTGCTGTTTGCTACATGGTTTGCAGCTTCAGTGGGACTACTTGTTCTAACGGGAGGAAGTTAGTTAGCCTTGGGAATAAACTCCAGGACCAATATAATATGGTCTACAGGCTCTGAAAAAAAGCTGTTTAAAATTATTGGACACATGTTAGGGAATAGTCTGTTATTACTAGAATAAATTCCTTCTGTCAAAAAACAAAAACAACTGTTAGCAAACCTAAAAGGCGCTGGAGAAAAAAGGGGAGACCTTATACCGGTAACAGTTTGCAAACTGGGGGGACGCAGCCTCTGGCAAATATCGAAAATGTGTTTTGTGGAGACAAGGGGAATGCTGCATTTTATAGGGAAAGTTCCCACCCTGGTTCCAGATTTCTCCAATATTATGCAAAGGAGGGACCCAAATTGCACACTCTGTTGGTCCGAATTACTCAGTCCAGATTGGTTGGCTTCATGAGGTCTGATTGGTCAATAAAGATGCAAGGCTAGAGCTGCAAGGTTCCGATTGGATGGGGGCAGGTCTCAGTCCATTGATTAAAAGATGAAACTGGAAACTGAAACTGGAAGCACAGTGCAGGAAGTTGCAGGCTCAGTCTGAGATTCTTCTCAGTACACAGAATATGCAAGAGGCCTCTGTCAGCAGATGGCCAGTAGACTCATTTATAAAATGTGGACCCATAGTTGACCATTGGGAGTCCATCCCAGCACATAAAATTTTTCTTGGGGTTCACATCCAATGACTCGTTCTTCTCGGGATACACTTAACTCCTTTATTTAAGATTCTATTTGCACGAATAAGTAAAATGAATATACAAATGCTTAATGGGTCCCTATTTTGTACTAAGGACAATACTAGGTGCTTTAAATTTATACTTATTAATAACATACTCTATATTAGTTACGAATGTATTTGTCTAAAAATAACAGAAAACTTAACCACAGTGGAGGATATGGGATATTTTTTAAGAAGTCCAGAGGCAGACAGGCAGGCGATGCAGAGCTTGCACAACAGCTCCCCTCAAAAACCTGGGCTCTTCCTATCTTTCTGCTCTTCCATTCAGAGCACGTTGGATATGTCCTCTTTATCTTCACCTCATGATTACAGTTGGCTGCTACACCTCCAGCCTTTACCTCTAAGTTCCAGGCAGGAAGAGGAAGAAAAAAAAAGAAAACATGAAGAGGTATAGGGTGAAAGGGACAGGCCAGCCCAGTCTGTCCCTTTTCTTGGTAGGAAAACAAAGACTCTCCTGGAAGTCCTACCCAGAGGACTTCTGCTTATTTCTCACTGGCCAGAACTATCTCCTGTGGCCACTGTTGCTTGATGGTAACCAGGGGAAAAGGGATTTGGGATAGAGATGACGTTAGCAACCCCAAGTATAATACCTTGCTTCAATTTCAACATTTACCAAGAATCCACTATGTGCCACGTTTTCTATTAGACACTTCGGTTACAAAGATGAGTAAGATGCATCTTTGTATCTCAAGAAGTTTACAGTCTAGATTGGAGACGTTATGCATACACCAAATAATTATAATTCAATAAAGTAATTATTATAAAGTTTGTACAGGATGCAGTGGGAGCAGAGTGGAAGGAATCTCAGCTGCTGAGAAAAGTATTTATTTTTAAATCTACCTTTTTAATATAGTTCCAAATTATGCAGAAGGAACAAGGTCATGGCTCCTTTAAAAACACCTCCCAGATCAGGTTGTTCCTTTCAGATGAAGGGAAGCTGCCCAGGTGGGGAGCAAATGCAGCAGGTGTTGCCCCTTTGAAAGAAAATATACCATCAAAAGAGGGCTATGAGCAGCTGCAGGGTTGTGGAAGCTGCAACAGGGTGGCTGCCACTGTGGCTCCTGCAGCAGAGTCTTTAGGAGTCGTTTGGGAAGGGGGCACTTCCAGTCACAGCAGAAAGTGTTAATGAAGTATTTAACACCTGTGCTGAAACTAACAGCTGCGCAGAAAGTCGACAGCCAGCCTGCAGGAGCAGTGAACAGAATCTAGAATGAACATTTCTCAGACTAGAAAAAGGAAATAACAGTTTAGGCAGTAACATACAGTGGACTTTGTACTTCCACATCTTATTCTGGTCTCTTCAAGGTGCTAAATGACAAGTTTTGCTCTGTACAAGGAGAAAAAAGATAGGTTAGCTTGCTAATGACCAGACCTGTGCATCTCAACCTTGGCTGTAGATTGAAACCACCAGAGGAACTTAAAACACATACACATATCTGGGTCCCCCCTCTAAAAGTCTGATGTGACTGGCCTGGGGTGTGGCCCAGGCATCAGGCTTTTAAAGCCCCCAGGTGATCTCATATGCAGACCGGGCTGAGAATTGCTGCTTTAAGACACGGTTTTCAAACTTCCCAAGTCTCTCTCTGAGTTTGGATTCTGTGGGTCTGGGAGTCTGTGTATTTGCCAAACACTCTGGGCGATTCTTCTGGTCAGAAAGCCTGGGAACACTGGTTTATGACTTTCTCAGAGGGTGTTCAGGCTGCTTTAAAAAATGCAGATTCCTGGATTCAGCTTCAGAATGCCGAATTGGAACACACACTTCCCAGGTGATTCTGATGCACTCCCCCCTTTGAGAACCACTGAACAAACAAACAAACACAGACTTCAATAAACACCAAAGCATGCGCATAAAGCCACCTAGGCTTGGTTTGTGCCTGTCATCTTACCTGATGGGTTCCAGGAGTCACCTTGCTGGTGGCAGCAACTAGAGGAGGAAGGATGAATTAAAACTAGCTATAGGACATCTCCAGAAACCCCAGCTCCTTTAAAATGACAAATCCTACAACCCTTGGCCAACTTAATGATGTGAAACAGTGTCATAGATGATGTAAAATTGTGGCTAATGCAGAAAACACTGGTATTTGCTTCCTCATTTTTAGAGAAATTTAAAGAGCATGTGGTCATACCTTGCTGGGACCAGCAGTGGCCAACAGAGCTGGAATGTGAGCCAGAAAGAAGTACTGTGTGTGAATTTTTATATGTTCTAGTAGCTACATTAAAAAAGTAAAACAAAACAGGTAAAATTAATTTTATTATAGTTTATTTAACTCGATATATCATTTCAACATATAATCAACAAAAACTATTCATGCAATATTTTAGATCTTTTTTTCATAGTAAGTCTTCAAACTTATTGTGTATTTTACACATGCAGCTCAACTCCTTTCAGACCAGCCACACTGCAAAAGTTCAGTAGTCACAGGTGCCTGTGGCTAGTGGCCTCTGTGTCGGATGGTGCAGCTCAGATCCCGCAGCAGCTCCCCCACCCTGTGCAGCTTCTGTGCTTTGACGGGGTGCAGGTGAAGCACAGAGGCAGGTGTCAGTGGTGGGCTCAGCACACAGAGATGCGCAGGATGATCTGCATGTGAATAATTGTATTTACCGTCATTTCTTCCCTGGCCCCCTCCCCCTTTCTCTGCATCCTGAAGGAGGCTCTGTGAGGCCCGGCCTGCACCCACTCACTCCAGACTCCCTCCCCTACTTCTGCTTGGAAATGGCCCAGTGACTGCTGCACAGCCTCCTCCTCCTCCGGGACCCTAAGGACGTTAATCAGTTTCACAGCTGGAGGCAAAGTGATCTAGTACAGCAATTCCTCCATTAAGGGGCTTTCTCTTGGCCTTTCCATTAGGAAAGGACTTTTGCATGAAGTTAAATGTACTTTGTCTTCACCAGGAAAGACAAAGGATTCAATTAAAAGAGCAAGAAACTTGCTAGTAGCTGGGCTACGGGGAGGGCAACGGAAAGTGATTCTCTCTGCCTCCATCTTGGTCATGGCTCCAAGAAGTGGCGGCAAGTTGTGCTTTTAATCTTCCTGAGAATAAAGTAATTGCCCCGGGATGAGAGTTTTCAGGTCCACTGAGCACCCTGTGTTTCGAGATGAGGGAGAGAACCGAGGCCCTTGCTTGGGCCAGGTAACTCTAGTGAGAACTGAAGTCTCTCACCCAGCTCCTGCTCATCCCATTCTACTGTGTTCTGGAAAATTCTGTCTTTAGTGTCTCACCTCTTTCCCGAGTGACAGCGCCCCTTCTTCTTCATGCACCTCCACCCCCACCACACACACACAGATACACACCACCCATTCACGTGCCCCCCTGGCACCTGCCTGCTAACTCAGGAACCACCACTGAAGTCTGTGAAAAACACATTCTGACCAGGTGCTTGTTAAAATGCTCAAGAAAGGAGAAAGCAGTGGTATTGGACAACTCCCACTCCAAATACATCACCAACTAATGACTGTACATTGGGAGAGACTCTTTCTCAAATAGACAAGGATTATTGTCCTTAAGAATAGTGAAGCCTCAGTCAAAGAACAGGACCCAGGCTAATTATAAAAAAAGAATATGAGAGGATGGGATCTGCAGCTTTATCAGTAAAGGATGACATATCTATAGCATTTTGCGTTTATAAATGTGGCTCTTTTAAAAACATTCAAATGCTTGCCCATAACCCACTTAGCTCACCCACATAACACAATAGAAGAAGCCTGAGCCAAGTTAAGGGCTTGCAGTAGTTTTTTTTATGGTACTGTTTTTTTTTTTTCCTCCTAAGCCCCCTTCCTCCCCACTCCTGTCTCCCACCTCCCACCTCTGAGCTGGAACAGGGATGGAATAGGGAAAAAGAGGAATTGAGGCTTTTATAAAACATTCAGATTACACTGAAAAATATAATAGAAATGTGGCATCATATTTATAACTTATAACAGCCTAGTCAGAAGATGGTGCCCAGTGACGTTAGCCCTCTGGGGCTGTTAGCCCTTTGGGGGGGGCGGTGGTTGGGGCATGTTCTCAGTGGCTTTTAGAGTCGTGGACACTCCCTGGACTTGGGAGGGATAAGGGTCCTTCCTTCACTCTGAAAACTTGACTGATCTGTTCTTAGAAGGCTGAATTCTTGTTGCTCAATTCCATTGTAGGCCTGAAAGCAACTGATGGGTACAAACTGGCGCAGGTTGAATTATTATTCACCTGTGACTCCAACTGCAGTAGGGGAGCCAGCCCGGAGGTAGAGTGCCCTCCCCAGGGAGCCTGACATTTCAGGAAACTGGGCCAGCTCCTTCTCACCCTCCTTCCTCCCTACACCAGTGGCACCATAAAGGGTGAATGGGGCAGGAAGCTCTGCTAGTTGTCTTCCACACTGAAGCTTTTGTGTCTGTGAGCAAATGGTAGCTGCCAAGGGGCTGCAAATAGAGAAACCTGGGGTGGTGGTAAAGGAATATTCCCAAGTGGGAAAACGGGAGAGCTTGTGTGACAAGCATTTGTTAACCGAATTGATCTGATTACTCAGGACTTTTCTTAGCCAGTACTGGAGCAGAGAGGGGCTGCAGTTGCTTTTCATTCTATTTAATTTCTGTTTTCCAAGAATGAATATCAAGGGAGCAGCTTTGATTAAACAAGCCTTTAAAAGGGGAGAGAATGCCAGGTTTTACAGAAAGCTTTCTGAGTTGCTGGCAAATGGCCACATGACACAATATTTTTAGTCTATGGATATTATCTCCTTTCTAAGTACAAAACTGCTATTCCCATTAACACAAGCTTGCAGGTTCAGGGATAAAGGAAATTAGCCTGGCGCTAAAAGAAAAAAATTAAGATTCCAGGAAATCAGCCTCTTAATAAAATTAAGAAGAAATTCCCCATGTTCCTAGTTCTGCAGTTTTACCCTTTCTATCTGCTGCTATTTATTTTTTCTTTCTTGCTGAGATTGAGGGCAAAACTAGAGAAGATTTCATAACCAAGACTAGCATTACCAAATTCAAAGAGATTTTTAAAAAATTTTGGCAAGATTTTTGTTGTTGCTTTTAAAAAGATTTTTAAAAAGATTGTAAGATTAAGGTAGGCTTGCTGGTGTCAGATGGGAAATAGGCAAGAAGAAAACCCCCATATTTAACATTTAACAAATATGTTAAATTATATATTAGGCACTAGAGATATATCAGTGAAGAAAATGAAGAAGCCCTTCCCCTCATGGACGTTACATTCTAACTGGACAGTAGTAGTTGACAGACATTGAGGTTTCCCATGTACTTGGCACTGTTCTAGAACTTTACATGATCCTCCCATGGGGCATGCCCTATTGTTATTACTCTTTGTTGCACCAGCCCTTACAGTTGGAAAGTGGCAGAGCCAGGATTCAGATTCAGCTGTCTGGTTACAGGGCCAAAACACTTAACTCGACTGTCCCGATCGGTCACTCTTACATTCCCGATGGGCCTTTGAGTCTTTCTTCTCTGTTCCTATCATAGCCTGTTTTTCTCTCTTGGAGCACCTTTCCCACATCTTCTTTGTATGTTCCCTCAGTTGACCAGAAGCTTTTAGAGAGCAAGGCCTGTCTGTAATCTCTGTGTCCCAAGATCTTACACTGTTGGGGACCGACCGGAACTGGGGACCTATCTCTTAGAGCATTTCCAAACACATGCTCATTCAGTGTGTAGTAATGCCTCCTTGAGGTCTATAAACCCTGCCGTTGCATCTAGCTTTAGTCTCAGCTCTGTGGGTACGTGAGGATTCTCTACAGAGAAGACTCTGCTCAAAGACATGGAACTGCTCTGCGTGCAGGCAGCTGAGGCCCAGGCCACTGCTGCCCAGGCAGTGAGTGGGAGAGTTGGTTGGGGCTTGGGATCTAAACATCACACTCTGAGTGCTGCTAAGTGCTTATATAATTTGGGGGGGTGGAAGAAGAGGGCTCCTTGGCATTGCCCAAATATTTCCTCTCAAAAATGAGTAGGAACCATCTAACTGACCAGTAAGAAAGACTTAGTAAAATAACCCCCTCCAGGAGAATGCTGTGCCATCATTAACCAACCAGGCTATAAAATAAGATTTAGGAATATGAAGAAATGCTCAAGCTATTCCTGAAAATAACAATATTATAATTTTGATTAGAACATCATCCCAATATTTTTGGAGGGTGTATGTTTGCATAGAGAAGAACAGAAGGGTATCCAAGAAAATGAGATTTTTAAAGGTGACTAATATTAAGTTTCTTTTTTATACTTCTCTGTTTTTCCCAATTTTTTTTGTAAAACATATGTTTATTAGAACTAGGCAAATGTTATTAAATAACAATCGGAAAGTAAACACTTTAAAAAATGGTTTAAAACCTTATATTGTCCCCAGAGGGGACCTTTAATCTATTTTCTGTGCATCCTCTCTTCTCCTGTGAGGAGCTCAGGTGCGATCGCAACGTAGCAAATCACTGGGTTGGAATCCTTGGCTGGTGTTTCTTTTGATTTTAGACTTCAGGGCCTGTGGCTCTGGTTGCAAAACCTCCACCGATGAACTGATCCAGAGATCTAAGGCCTTGTGGAGAGATCATCTCTCATCCTAGTAGGAAATAATGAAATCTTCTAACCTTAGAGTCCTTTAGAACAAATGAATATATACACATGTGAGCCTCAAGTGTGGCTGCAGCCTGTCACACTTTACAGCATGCATTCAGAGTTAATCCTCAACAAGAACGTGGATGAGCAGCTGGTGGTATCATCCCTAAGTCACAGGCAAGGAAGGGACTTGCCCCAGATCCTGTGGTGAGAACCAGAACTCAGGCTCAGCTCTGATCCAGGTCCTTTCCTTGCACTGTTGACTCCACCATGGGAGCAAGGACACAATCTTGATGAGCACCTTCTAGAGCACAGGGGTGGTCCTTCCATGGGCTGGCACTTTGTGAGCTGGGCGAATAAGCCTGTGTTCCTGTCAGAACAAGTGGTGCTGGGCAGGAGATCATCGAGAGGGCTGGGCTAAGCACTGGAGCCAAGGAGGACAAAGATTTCATCTCTCCAAGATGTGGGAAGACCTGACCTGTGGCCACAACCCTGAGCTCAGATTTTAAAACAGCCCTTCTATACCTCCAAACCAGCTTTCAACTTGGACTCTGCTAAGTTTCGTTCTCTCTCACACTTGTCCGTTCCCTTTGCCCTTCCATTATTTCAATGAATGATGCTCGTGCATGTTTTTGCACCCCACTATACCATAAGTTCTGTTAAAGGTAGAGACCAGATCTCCTTTACTTTAGTATCACCCTATTACCTAATGGTAGCTGTGTTTAAATAGTGTTCATTAAAGCCAAGACATAGAATCAAAGCCAGAAATTGTCTTGGGAGGCAGAAATGAGAATGTGGTGACAGAGTTAAAGAGACTAGATCCAGAAGTAGAATGCCCAGACAGGGGCCTTTTATATGTGCTCTATAATCAAAGCAGGATCCAGTGACCAGCTTATGAGGGTGTGGCCAATCAGGGACAGAGGCTCAGACCACAGATCTAGAAGTTTCTTGATTTAAGAATCAGTAAGTCTGAGAACTGCCCATTCTTAGACTTGTACACCAGGAATGTACCATGAGCCAAGAATATAAAATGGAAATTGAAAAACTTGTCTTCTGGGGAAAGATGCATAGGTATGTTTAGTTACATTCTTTTTTTCCTTATTTTTCAGTATGCCCTGGTTTCTACCACAAAGAACTTCAGAATGTCTGCTGATGGTAACTTCTTCTCCACAACAGAATTTGACTTTGAAGCAGGACACAATAGGTAGCCTTTGCTAATGACCTTGCTTGAAGTATGACCTCGCTTGAAGTCCCGTTTATCTGAGGGTCAAGGAGCAGGCATGGTACAGCCTGAGGGAAAGTAAGGGGCCCTGAGCAATTTGCTGCCTTCCTGGCAAGTTCAGAGGGTAGCGAGCCCCAAAGGGGAACAGGAAATAAGGCAGTTATCTGGAAGGCCTCTTTCCCCATCCAAAATCTTCATCTCCAGATAATAAGAATGACCGTGTGAGAGAGGGCTCCTGAAGCATCTGGAGGTTGCCTCAGATGCCCCGTCAGCTTGGGGAGGCAGCTGTCAGAGCTGTTTGCTAACATGAAAGCAGGATGCAGGAGGTGAGAAGGCCTCTGAGAAAAGATGTGTGGAGAGTCCAGGGTATGAGGATGAAAACACACGGGCCTTGAGGACCTACCTAGGTTTGGCTCTTGGCTCTACACCAAGTGTGAGAACCAGGGCTAGTTACTAATCTATGGGAGCCTCGGTTTCCTCACGCGGGCGTCATACACACTTTGCTGTGATGTGAGGAGCAATGGAGATGGAGTGTATGACATGGTGGGCATGAGCAGCCTCTTGGTGAGATGGTGGCTGTAAATAACAACTACAGGGTGAGAAATGCAAAAGTGGGTTTTTAGAGATGGGGAAAGAAAGGTGGACATAGCAGATCTGATTCTGTAGGAGCATCTAGAGTGGGATGACCAGAAGGGGACAGAATTCTCCCTCCTCCTACCCCATTTTGAGGCAGTGTCGGCAAAGCTAGATTCCCTCACTTGGGATCTTCCCCTGACAGTCACGATCTCATCGTGGAAGTGAGAGACAGCCAAGGGCTCAGAGCCTCCACATCACTGCAGGTGAACATCGTGAACATCAACGATGAAACCCCGCGCTTCACCAGGTAGGCCTGGGGGCGGTCAGGGCTCCAGGGGTGCAGGCCTACCTCCCTCAGGTAGCCAAGCCTCCTCAGACACACTTAATACAAGACAGTGGGGTGCCCTGGAGAGGAGAGATAAGGGGCCCGAGATCTTCAGTGTCCTTTACCTGGGCTTCTGGACTTCTATCTTCTACTTTTGCTCCCCCTGCCTCTATACCCCAACATTCGCCTGTACCACAGGATTGTGGGTATGTTGGGAAGGGGGTGGGGCCAGACATGATGCCCCTGGTGCAAGGGCTTATGGAGAAGGTAAATACAGTAGTCCCCTCTTAGCCACGGTTTTGCTTTTCATGGTTTCAGTTACCCAGAGTCAACCGTGGTCTGAAAATATGAAATGGAAGGTTCCAGAAACAAGAAATTCATAAGTTTTCAATTGCACATGATTCTGAGTAGTGTGACGAATCTTGTGATGTCTGCTCCATTCCACTTGGGATGTGAATTATCCCTTCATTCAGCATATCCACGCCGTATTTGGTCCCCTTACCCCCACCCTTAGTCACTTAGTAGCGTCTGGGTTATCAGATCTACTGTCATGGAATGGCAGTTTTGTGTTCAAATTACCCTTATTTTACTTAATAATGGCCCCAAAGCACAAGAGTAGTGATGGTGGCAATTCAGATATGCCAAAGAAAAGCTGTAAAGTGCTTTCTGTAAGTGAAAAGATTAAAGTTTTTGACTTAATAAGGAAAGAAAAAAAATCGTATGCTGGAGTTGCTAAGATCTATGGTAGAAACAAACATTCTATCCATGAAATTGCCTAAATTGTAAATTACATTTTATCATAGATATTTATGTATAGGAAAAAATTAGTCTGTATATGATTCGGTACTATCTGGGGGGACTTGGAATGTATTCTACACAAATAAGGGGGAACTACTGTATAAGGCAGGTACTTTTATAATAGAGTGCTCAACACTAACAGTAGCAGAATCCTGGAGCCCACATCGTCAGTCAAGACTTCGTAAAACCCACTCTTAGAGTGTCACTCTCTCTGCCTGAGAGGAGGGCGATTCTGATAGTGCCTCAGAGGCTTGCTCACTGCCAGGTGCTCTAAGTTCCTTCATGCCATGGAGAATCCAGAAAAGAGATCTGGCTGTTTCTGGCAGCTCCTACATCCAGCAGAGGTGAGGAAGGTAAGTGAACCTGGTGGAGGCAGCCTGTGGGAACGTGCCTGGCACCAGCCCAGGCACAAAGGGGAGACCTGAGCCTGTCGGAGATAGGGGTTTAGGAGGGGAAGATGGGATTTTGAGCTAGCATATGCCCTGCAAACAGCCTGGCTGACTGTGTGAGACTGCCCACCCCAGTTGCTGAGGTAGGCTCAGCAGCCAACCACAAGGAAACTGGCAAAGTCGGCTACCTGGGGTTAACTGCATTGATGTCTATGAATAAATTCAGCCTAGGAAACTCTGCAACAAAAACTGGGCCCCAGAACTATGCAGAATGCTTGCAAAAGTATTTTGAGATTAGGAGACATTAGGGCCACCTCATTCCCAGGCTAACCTGGTGTCATTTGGCAAAACACACATTTATGAAACTTCTGGATTTTAGCGTGGTCTATACCCCAGTTGCTGGGTGTTGGTATGGAGGGAACAGCAGCAGACACACTCCCATGTAATGTTTCTCATCAACACCTGTTGCCATGTTACACTCAGAAGAATGACACAGTGCATTTCTGCAGAGAGGTTCCTGCAGGAGCACAGCCCCGGCAGTTCATAAATAGTTGTGACATCGAAGCCTGGATTCTGACTCAAGTATTGGCCCACACAGCACTGTGGATTCATCAGTAACCCGCAGAGGGAGGAATGGCTGTGGGGCTAGAGCAGATGCATTCTGCAGTGCCCTCTTCACACACCCCGTCTGTGAGGTGGGAAAGCAGGCTAATGGGGTTACAAAGGGGAAAACAATTTCTTCCAAGGGGCAGAACTTGTAGATCATCTGGTTTGGACTGTGTCTTCCAAAATAAAGCAGTTGACCTCAGCAGAAAGAGAACATAACCTTGGCTGGATGTTGGGGCCCCAGAGATCAGTCTGAAACTCTGATTCTCATTTTCGATTTGAGAGATGAACCTGTTAGGCTCCATCCCAGACAGAGAACATGACCCATGTGACCATCTAATCGTTAAAAACAGCCCAGAGCAGTCTACTTCATTTCAAACAGTGTCCCACAGATATTGGTAGGGATGGGTCTGAGAGAGCCTGTGCTCTAGAAGGGGGATTTGGGGTAGGTTGGCTGCCCTGATGTTGCCCAGGCTGCTCAATCAGAGTCAGCTTCACCTCTCAGTCTTCTACAATTTGGAAAAGCTTGCTCGGTTTCAAACTAGGTGCTGATGTTGAGAGCTTTCATGGTTCTCTTGAACCATGATCCTTCTTTTCTCCCCAAATCAGCTCTAAGAGCTAAGACTAACCATAAATTGTTTATCCATTAAATTAAATCCTCAAACTGATCCAAGTATACTGTTAGAGTGTGAAGTAGAACTGTAAAATGTGGAAACAACTCATCTATCTTTACTATTTGTTGAGGTCCTACAATTACTACAACCAAAGCCAGTAGTATTTCTGTTGTTGAAAATGTTTCGCCATTTTATCACTGGGTGGTGACAAACATCTGAATTTTTTATGGACTCATAATGTGTACTCCAGGATTCTGCTATTATTCGAGGTGAGCACTTGATTATAAAAGTACTGGACTTATATTTACTCTCTATATGGTAAGCAGAATGCTTGTTATTTTTTGCAAAGCACTGTGTTTTAGAGTTGGGCCGATAGGTCTTTCTACACTTCTACCCATTTCTTTTGTATTTACTCACAGTCCTTTTCACATAAGGTGTGTGGCAATGTATACACACCTTATGCACTTACTGAATACTCGTTCATAGTTATGAAATCATTGTGGTCACCCAGGATTCATCCTTTCCTTTGAGTGTGGCCACTGGCCCTCGTCTATCCATCGCCCAGGCTCTGCAGGTCTCGTGTTATAGGAGGAAGGTACGGGCATGTAACTGGCATGAGAGCATTACCCTGTCAGGTGGCTACAGGGTCCTTGCCTTACTTGTGCTTTGCATAGAGCTTAACTGTGGTCTGAAGGTAGCACCCTTACATTAAATGATATTTTATTTATTTTTGGGTCTCGGATCCCCAAACCAAACAAACCAAAGATTTGATCTTCTGCCAGGCTGCATGTCAGGTCAGCCCAGGGGAGAATGTTTTACCTGAGGAGCTGGAATTTACCAGTAGCCTCACCAATAGCCCCCTTCAGAGGATCTTGATTTCATGGAGTGCCCAGCATGGACTAGATGAGCCTGCAGGAGAAGATGTTTTAAATAGCTGCACTAATGACATTTTGAGCTAGAAACTTCCTTGTGATGGGGGGTTGAGGTAAGGGAGGGAAGAGGGGCTGTCCTGTGCCTTGTGGGATGTCTAGCAGCAACCCTGGCTTTATCCCCTGGATGGCAACCGCAGCCCTGTCCCCCAGTTATGACAACCAATATAACTGTCCCCAGTTGAGAACCACTGTATTAGGGAAGATGGGATGGTGAGAGGGAGGGGATTCTCCTCTCAAGGTGTCCTGGGTCTGTCCTATGAGAAGCTAGGAACCTGTGATTATCATCTCTGGTGATTCCTTATCATAGTCCTGGTTAAACTTTAAAGTACACATCAGTCCCTCAGACATCTTGTGAAAACGCAAATCCTGATTCCGCGGGCTGGAGAGGGCCTGAGATTTGCACTGCCTGGGAGCCTGTTCGAAATGCAGGGAACACACTTGGAGTAGCAGGGGCAAGGTTGTGAGGGTGGCATGAGTGTCTTGGAGATCCCCTTGTTGGAGGTTAACAGAACCCACTTCAGGTAACCAAAGAAAAATATAACGAGTTAGAAACTGGGGCTCTCAGATGATAGACATAAGGGCTTAGTCCAGCCTAAGGAGCTGGCGCTACAGGCTTCTCTCGCTCTGGTTCCTGCTGCCCCTGCCTCCTTGGCCCCACCCACTTGTCTATTCCTTGACCCATCAGTGGGCACAGTACAGATTCCCTGAGAAGGGGGTGTGTGAGGTAAGTAAACGGATTAATAGGCTGCTTTAGTGGGACATTGCTAGGGAGAGGCCCCGGAGCACTGGGGGTGGCTTCTTGATCTGAACAAGATCACTGTCCCCCAACTTGGAAAGCACCTACAGGAGGTTATTTCACGAGTAGGGGGCGGGCCCAGGGTCTAGGGAGGAGCCCTAGTCAGGAGGTCCCACCTTTCCCTGCCTGCCAGATTCCAGCTGGAGCTTCCTTGTCTTTCTACGTCTGACTCCACATATCCTCCAGGGTGATGAGAAAGAGCTGCAGGAATACCCTGAGCTCAGGAAATGGATGCCATCATCTAGAGCTGAGGTGCAGTCTCCCCTCTTAAAGAAGATCCCACGTGGGAAAATTCACACTTAGGAAACTGGCAAATGAGAGGTGACTATTTGTCCCACTGAAATGATTTTCCCTCAGTACAAAGACTTCTTGCAAAATTATTTTAAACAATAAGCTTCCCTTGGTGCATTCGAAATTACTCAATTTACCCAAGTTGTGTAGTTAAAACTTCGAACCCACCTGTCATATTACTGGCCTTTTCCAAAGGCAGTGGAGGTCTGAGGAAGGTGGGTACACTGGCAATTTGGGGTTATTTTGCAGAAGTCATCCTTGGAGGGCAGAGAGCTGACTTTGGCTTCTGCCCAGGGGGCTCATTTCTGCATTCAGAGAGCTGACCTCATGATTAATGGTACTTGGAAGGTGCACAGTTCTGTGCATAAATTCTGCCTCCACAAGCAAAAAAAAAAGACAAGAAAGAAATAAAAACTAAGTAGAGCAGAAGCACTAAAATAGGGAAGGTATACAATTTATCTGGTTTTTGGTGTCTGCCATGGGATGGGAGTCAGGAACCTGCAGTTCTGGACATTATGTCCAGATGGATTTTAAATATAATTCAGGAAACTTTTGCACAAGAATCGAGAGAAAGAAAGAAGATGGCTGGACAGACCAACTATCTTTATTTTAAAAAATGTTAATGCTAATCTGAAATGGCACCAGGCTGGGTGAAGTCAGAGACCACAGCCGATGTAAATCAGAGCAATAACAGCATGGTGCTTTCTTTGCTTCCACAGGGATGTGATCTTTGGAAATACAAAAGCCAGTCTCTTCTGCTTTCAGCTGCTGAGTTCTCTCTCTGAGCATGTTGATGCAGCTTCAACAGCTCAGGGCTATATTTAGCATTAACCAAAATACCCACCTCCCAGACTCCACCCTCCCGTGCCCCTGAAAATTAGCTGTGTCTGCTGTATTTCTGTTCCAGCCCAACTCGAGTGTATGTGATTCCAGAGGAGCTGGGTCCAGGAACCATTGTGGCCAATGTCACAGCTGAGGACCCTGATGATCAAGGTTTTACCAGCTTCCTCCTCTACAGCATCACTACTGTTAACAGCTATTTCATGATAAATCAGTGTAAGTCACTCACACACACACATTATTCATGTGCATCCTTTAATTCAGCCACATGGATTGTTTTTCAGATATTTTATGTCTTCTGATTTGGGCATGCCTTTCTGTCTAGAGTATCATAAGTTACCAGGTAATAAGCATATTAAAAACAGCTGGCATGGGAGTTGGGGAAACTAAACATGTTGACAAATGTATCACTGCTTCACTGTTGAGGCAGGTTCTTATGTAAGGATGGGTGAGTTCACTATCCTGAGGGTACCTTAAAGTCTTCTGAAGAGAGAGTCTAGACCAGCATTGTCCAACAAAAATAGAATGGAAGCCACATAAGTCATGTAAAAGTCTCTAGTAGCCACATTTTTAAAGAATAAAAAGAAACAAGTGAAATTAACTTTAATAAAACATTTTATTTAACCCAACAGATCCAAAATAGCATTTTAACATGTAGTCAATATTTAATAGTTATTGAGATATTTTAAATTATTATTTTTTATAACAAATTTTTGAAGTTTGTTCTAAATTTTATAGTCACTGCAAATCTCAATTCAGACGGGTCACATTTCGAGTGCTACAGAGGCTCACATGCCTAGTGATTCCTGTATTGGATCCCTTCAATCTAGATCAGTCTGTGGGATTGCTAGGAATTATTTTCCAATCTAAGTGTCTCAGTGCAGAGAAGGACAGTTTATTCCTCTCACAAAGTCCATCTTTTTTCAGGATCCTAGTACATAATGGGCTCTATGCGGGGTGATCCACATGCATTCCATCTTAAGTACACAGCACAGCAACTCAATGACCTATCATAATCTGCATTTTACAGAGGAGAAAACTGAGGCTTAGGGAGAGATTCAGACAGGTGAAGTGACTTGTCCAAGGTCTCACAGCTTATAGGCTGTGAGGCAGAGATGCAAACCAAAGCTGCCCAACTCAGAGTCTGCCCTCTTTACCACTCCCAGACTATACTACCTTGGAAGGCCCTATCACATCACCAAATAGTACTTTGCTTTACTTAATGGTTTTGTGGAGGCCAGCATCGACAATCTCAGAAAGACAATGTATTATTTGCCCTATGGCCTTTAGGGCAAAGGATACCTGCTCTCAGGAGAGGCAGGCAAAGGCAATAATCATGCTCTGTCTCTGAAACTCCCGAGCACTCTGTCATCAAGGACCTCACTCAACTGACTGTGTAAGGATCGATAACCACAGTTTAGAATTCTGTTCACTCTAGTATTAAAATTGAACTTTTAACAAGTACAATATTTAGGGAGGAGCATATGTAAGACTTTGGTTGCAAGTAACAGAAACTAAAGCAAGTCAAATCAAGCAAGATCTAAAGAAAGGTAGGGACATCTATCAACAGGATACTGGGCATCTTTTAAGAAAGAATGGGGCAGCCAGGGGATAGGAAGGGTGGGAACCAGCACTGCCCCAGTGACTTCAGTGGCTAGAGTTCTGGCCTCTTACCTATAGCTTCACTGTTAACCTGACTTGTTACCCAACTTGTATCTCTCAGTTAAAATTCTCCAGTAAGGGAACCCAGTGGGTCAGTCTGGAGTCAGCTGCCTACCAGTCCAGTCAACTATGGGCAACGGCTGCTGCCAAGGGCCCAACCCCGAAGTTTGCGTTGAAAAATTCTAGAAGGGTCAGTCCAGACACCCCAATCAATGTCTAATAGAGAAACTTACATAAATTTTTAGAAAATGTGTTCGGGTGAGGATATTCTCTGTGTAAGCCAGTTCTCACATCAGAATGCTATTTTTGACTTGCTACAAGTCTCCATCGGCCTTTACTTTTCATTTCTCTCTAAAGAGTCGTGTTCTAACCTTTGCCTTCTTAGTGACTGGTACCATCCAAGTGGCCCGCAGGCTAGACCGAGATGCGGGCGAATTAAGACAAAATCCTACCATTTCTCTGGAAGTTCTGGTGAAGGATAGACCTTTTGGGGGTCAAGAGAATCGCATGCAGATAACCTTCAAGGTGGCGGACATTAATGACAACCCTGCTACTTGCAGCACGTTCACCTTCAGGTATTCACGTTCTTAGACACATGCTGGGCATTTCACCTCCTCTGTCATCCCTGTCCCATCGGCCTCTCTGGTGATTCTCTGGTGAAACTGAAGAGTTATGGGCTTTGGGACATGGCTCATGAAAACCAGAAGATTTGAACTGTCCAAGTAATTGACAGGTTTTCCTTACATCATCCTTTCTTCTTCCTTCTCTTTTATTTTCTTTCCTCTTTGTTGTCTCTCTTCTCCACTTTCTTTCTGTGTTAAAAAATATTTTTATTTTGCTCTCTTCTATAACATGTTCATCTCTTTTGGTGAAAAGTACCACGGGGACTTGTTAGACCCTCTCCGGGCTCTGCCTTTCCTTTATTTACTGCCACTGTTGGCAAGACAATGTTGTTAGTTAGCAGTTATAATAGATACTTGAGACTTAGGATTAGTAACTAGGAGATCCCAGAGAAACATGCCACCAGTAATATGAATAAATCAAACTGAGTATTTACTTAAGACAAAACAAAGCATCTAATTTACGTTACACAAATTAATTGCATGTAAACAAAAGGCAGTGGAAAGGAGAAAAATGCAGATATAAGTGAGATACAAGTTATTTTGTGTATTTTGACCTGTTCTTTGTCTCACAATCCATTCACCATTATTTTAAAATAAAGTCCCTTGTGATTCTGGGTTAACATGCCTCTTCGAAAACAGTATTGTCTTTCTACTATTTTGTTTAAATGCCACAATATTAATAATTCCCTGGGTTAGCGTCATCTCTGTGGTGGTTTCAACATAGCTAATCTCCAGTTTCCTGGGAGTCTGAAGGTGGCTCCTCTTGGGGATGGGGAAGGCACCTCTGCAGTAACCCTTGCTGAGAGAATGCCCTGCATCTGGAGCCAGACTGAGGACCAAAGTAGGTCTCGTTTTCAGATGTCCCCATGGAGAGTCTCTTTGGCTGAGTTTATCTTTGACTGGTTTCACAAATTGACTTTTTAAACTCCAGGTGACTTTGGACACCAACACAATACATAGTGTGGTTGTTCAAAGGAGAAAGGACCCTAGACAAAGATTGTCCAGGGCAAGCAATAGAAATACAAATTCTTTTATTATGCTGATGAACATCTCTCTGTTCTCTCAATTGACATACCCACGTAATGCTCAGATTCAGTGTGGCCTTGAGTCTGATATCAAAACCAGTAAGCCCTGTTCTGGATACATTCCATTGCCCCTTCAGATCCAGCCTCCAGCCTCCTCACTCTGCTCTGTCTCCCACGATCTACATGATCTACATGAATATTTGCCAGCGCCCTTGCCCTGTAGCTTCTGGTTGGCCAATGGGGAGCCTAGAAGGAAGGGGAGTATGAAGTCAGTGTATTTATCCCCCTGGCTCCCTCCCTGTCAGCTGGATGAGTCCCTCTACGTTCTGAAGGTCTCAGTTTCTATAAGGCAGCCTTCTTTGCACAGCACTCTCTGTCTGGGGGTTTGAGTTTCAGGAACTGCTCCCTCCAATGGCTTCTGCAGGGCTAGAAATGGTAAGGAAGCTTCTCTCTTACTGGCCCATTTCTTGATGCAATTTCCATATACCCTGTGTGTAGATCTGTAATAGCCTCTTTACTAAACTTCCCCTAGAATTATGCCAATTTGCCATCTGTTTTCTGCTGAGGCCCCGATCAAGTCAATAATAGTCTTGACCATATGATAGGTTCCTATCCCTACCTTAACCTTCGAGTCTGTTTGATGGGTGGAAGTCATTGTCATGAGTAGTTAGAATTGTGACTTCCACACCATTATATGCATAAATTGAATCCACTTCCGTTAAGAGAAGTCTGGGCCCTGCAGATGGAGGTGAGATGACATGCAGAGTCACACTTGTACTTTCTTTGAAAATCTAAATCTATGCTAGCATTCTTGGCTGGCTCCAGTGCACCCTGGGGAATTCCTCTCCTGATATGCAGCTCTTCTAGGCCCTCCTGCTCTTCTTCTGGTCCCCTGCCCTGCGAGGTGGAGGACAGGGATCGAGTGGTAAGAACTCTGGGTGTCAGAAACTGAAGAGGACTGTGCTGTCTCCAAACTTTCTTGTCAGCTTTCTCCCCTTAGTGCATTTCTATTAAGTCCATACTGTGGCTTCCTGCCATCCAGAGTTCCCTGATATGAGGGATGACTGCATTCTGTATTAACTGGTAAAATCACATTTCGAATATCCTAGGCTGTCCAGGCAAGCCTATACAGAATCTTGCTCTTGATAATTTCACCAGCCAGTCACTGGACTAGTAGTAGTTATTATTGAAGACACCTCCAATAAACATTCAAGTCCCTCGTCTGGGCTTTTCCAGTGAGTGACTCGCCGCCACCCTGTGAAAGCCAAGATGTGAGGAAGGACAACAAGAGTGTTCCTTTGCTTTGCAGTCCCTGAAGCGGAGATCTTAACTCTGAAACCCAGCTTCGTTTGCATTCCATGGGCTAGGAAACCCTGACCTTGCATCGCCCGCCATCCTGCCATCTTTACCTCCTCCTTTCCCACAGAGCCAGAGCAGAAGCACACAGGCAGGTCAAAACACACCAAACAACAGGACAGGTGTTACCCTTGGCTCTAATAACACAGTCCCTGAATATTTACTCTTTCTTCAGGGCTCTTTGTGTGGTCCCTCTAAGCGAGTTTGTGAGAGCAAGTAGAGGAGGGTGGGAGGAGGCTGGTAGGTGGCTGTGTACCTAGGCCCCTGCTGCCCGTGGGGGCTCTCAGGCTGGGCAGAGATGGAAACAACCCTGAGGCCGAGGCCCTTGCGTTTTCCCAGGCTAGTAATGAATGAGCCTAGGGCTCTGATGGAGGCATCAAAGGCCCATGACAGCCCTTGCTCTGGTTGTAAATTGTCAAATGCTGGCTGAAAGTGCTTCTCAAGCTGTTTGTGAGCCAGAGGCGGAGAAGGTCGGCTAATTTCAGAAGGCGGCTGGGCCAGTCACCTTTGCCTGGGGAGGGAACCGTGGTCAGATGGCTGGGAGCTGGGGCAGCCTGCCTTTGAGGCAGGGATTGATGAATGAGGGGGAGTGGTTTTCCAAGTCAGGGGTTTAGGGAAAAATACCAAGTGTCAGTGAAGAATGAAAAGAACAGGCCAGGCAGCCCTAAGGGGCTGAGTGTGGAGGCCTCTTTTGGAGTGTGTGAAATGTCTGGATTCAAGACCCTGGATTCTTTGGATGATACAGCCTCCTGGCTCTGTAGAATTAGAATTGAGGCTCAGGTTCTCTAGCCATCTGTGGAACTGGAGATTTATTGATTAATGGAATGTAAAGTAGAATTTACAGTGACTAACACAGAACATAGAATAGTGCCTGGATGTATCAACTTTCTTGGACAGGTCTTGAAACTACTCTGAACCACTCTTTCTTCACCTATAAAATGGAGACAAGAATACAAACCTTTTGGCGATGAGGGAATTAGAGACAGTGTTTTTAAAGTGCTTCGAATGATACAGCTTATCATTGGTGTTTAATAAATATATCCATTCTAAGTACTTATGGGTAAAACCATGACGCTGTGCATGCAAGACAGGAATGGAAATGCTTAGACTCCAACCCTGCTGAAACACAGAGGCTATCCTTGCCAATGAAGCGTCATGGAAATTCAGTTACGCCTGTCAGAAAAACTGCTTTCCAGAAAGCAAACCCAGTTACCCTCAGCAGCCCAAAACCATCCTTGCTGTCAGACTTTGCTCCACGTTTGCTGAGCCCAAAGCCCATGTTAGTTGCCATTAAGAGATGATGTGGAATGTAGAAGGGAGCATAATTTGGTTTCAGAAAGAGGTGATAATACATAGGATTAAAGAATTTAATACATGTTAGTCTGGGTGATCGGAGAACAAGATTCCAAGATTAAATGTGCAAGGCTTTTGTTAGGGAAAATGCCCATGAGAAACAAAGGGGAGAGAGTTAGACAAAGATATTGGTCGTTGACATTTTAGGCAAGGTAGCCAGGATAACCTTCTGAGAAGGTGACATCGGATTAGGGACTAAATGTAAAAGAGCAATCGATGTGGATATTGGTGGAAGGGCATCCACAGTAAGTGGAACGGCCTCGAAGTCAGAGATGGAGGGTTGCCGGGAGCCAGCGGAGAGTGCCCGAGGAGACGTGTTAGTAGGTGATAATTCAGACAGGTAAGGGAGAGGTGGGGTGGTGCGCATCATAAAGAGTCCCGAAGATCAAAGTGAAGACTTCGAAATGAGGAGCCAGTTGGGATTTGGGAGCAGGGAAGTGACATGACCTGACATTTTTAACAGGATCTGCCTGGCTGTCATGTGAAGAATAGTCTAAAGGGAGGACAGGACAGAGCAGGGGCTCCAGTTCGGCGGTTGCTGCAATAACTATGGACTTGCTTTGAACTGAAATTAAAGTAGAGATGTCTACTAGGGCCTGTGTCAGAAGAAGCACTCAATCACCATCTGCTGGGGAAAATATTGAATCGTGTCTCTTTGCCAGCATTTTGGTGCCTGAAAGAGCGGCCAAGGGAACGTCACTTCTGGACCTGAACACAGTCTGCTTCGATGGTGACAGTGAAGCACCATACAGCCAGTTCAACTTCACCACACCATCTGGAGTGGGGAGCAGCAGCAGATTTTTACAGGATCCAGCTGGCTCTGGGAAAATTGTGGTCAGTTAATGGTCATTGCATCATTGAAAGGGCATGGGGGAAGCTGGTCTAATATGCATAGTGCTTTTGCTGCCCCAGAGAGAGAAATTTCCACAGTAACTCCCCCTCCAAGTAGCTGTAATTGACAAACTTAATAGTGACTCTGTTTTCCCATTTGCTCTTAATTTTACCCAAGTTCCAGAAATCATCTGTTATGCATCATTGTGCCTGGGGTGCTAAGGACTGGATTCTTTCTCATATAGCTGCAGTATTTGTGCCTGCTTAGCTGCTCTACAGTCATGATAGTGCCCTCTGGGCTCAAACACTCTTGAGTATTTGAGTGTTCCTTCCTGACCCTCGGAAGTGTGAGGCAAGATTAGTCTGAGGCAAGATTAATCAGGTCCAGGGCCATGAGTGCATTGTGTGAAATTCAGCCTTCTAGAACCTCTAGAAACCTAAAGGAGAATAAGAAAGTGAGGTTGTACGGGTAGCCCCACTCCACAGCATCCCCGTGGGGGCAAAAGCAGAGGTGGAAGCAGGATGGGCATAAAAGCCTGTCTGAAGGAGTCGTGTGAGACCTTCACCTATAGGGTTCCCACTGGAGGGTGTTGGGAAGGAGGAGAGAAAAATGGAAGGTCAAGGGGTGGTGTGGGGTCTTGGAAGGGAGTGATCCTATTTAGGAGGTCTTGGCATCAGAGATCAAGCCTCAGGGAGGAGAGCAGTCAGCCCACTACGCATCCTCTTACTCATCTTCTTCTCTACTCCCATCCCAAGCCCTTTCGATCCCCAAGAAAGTCTTACCAATTTTATTCATCGTGTCAGCTAAAAAGTAATGTCTATTTTTCCTGTTTAGGAAATTAATACACGTTTACTGTAGAAAATGTAGAAAACACAGAAAAGCTTTAACATTCAGTGATAACTGCTATTAACATTTTGATATATTTCCTTCTTGTCTTCTCTCTTGTACACAGATTTGGTGCATATTCTACCCATATATGCATACATATTTTAAATGATGGAAATATCCATGTATTTAAGAATCTATATCATGCTTCTTTTCAATTAACCTGAAGTCTTGAGCCTATGCTATTGGGCAATAGTTGCTTGATGAACACCTTTAAACATAGATTATCTCTCCTCATAAATTCTTTCAAATAAATTCTCTAGCAGTGAGCAAAAGTATGGATGTAAGTTTTTAAAGCTCCTCATGCAGGCAAAATGCTTTCCAGAAAGGCTTTCCACTAACAGATATGAAAATGTCATCGGTTCAATTAAAAGGATTGTTTGATTCTGTGTAATCTGAAATCTCTGTTTTGATCTAGTTGATTGGTGATCTAGATTATGAAAATCCAAGTAATCTAGCAGCCGGCAATAAATACACTGTGGCAATCCAGGTGCAGGATGTTGCCCCTCCTTACTATAAAAGCAAGTATCATTTTCATTTATTTTATGAAGCATCTTCCTTGAGTGGCAATGACTAGAGTGCTTGGCAATACTCAGTATTGGGCTAGGTATTTGTGTTCCAAAGATTTCAAAAAACCCCCAAACTTGAGAATCAGACCAGCCTCTTCTTGTCTTTCACCAGGACACTTAATCGGTCTCCAAGTCCTTTCTTCCATGCCACTTCCTAAAATCTCAAGGGTCTGCTGCTTTCCCCCTGCCCCGCCCCCATCCCACTAGTGCTGCTCTGATGCAGAACCTCCTCTTTCTGGGCTAAAGTTCAACACTGAGAGTCTGTTAGGATCAGTCTCCCTTGCCTTTAGTCTTGCCCTTTTCCAAAGCATCCTCCACATTTCTGACAGTGATTTTCAGGAAATGCAAATGCTGTCATATTACTTCCTTGCTTAAAACCCTTGAGTGTCTCTTCATAGCTGTCAAGTTCAAGTTCAAGTTCAAACTCTTTGGCTTGGCACACGATGACTTTCATCATCTGGCCCCTGCCTAATTCTATAGCTTCAATTCTAGTCGCTTGCCTCTAATCACCCCCCACCTCCCCTTTTTTTCTAACTAGGCCAAACAGCTTGCAGTTTTTCTGAGTGAATCATGGAGTTTTCTACCTTGGTATCCATGCACATGCCTAGAATAGCTCCCATTCCCCCCTTGCCCCATTTGCCTGGCTCTAATTATCTTCGAAAGGTTCAGCTTGCACTTCCTCCAGCTTCCATAGTGATCTGTATATGTGTTTATCAAAAGGCAGCTACCCTGAGCATCTTGAAGGCAGAAACTGCCAAGTCATATTCACCTGTATTTCCCATATTTTGCACAGAACCTGTTACACAGAAGATGCTTTTAAAATGTTGAATAAACAAGCGAATGAATAGAATATCGTGATTTAAATTTTTTTCTATTTCTGTTTTTAGATAACATCTACCTTTATGTCCTGACAAGCCCAGAAAATGAGTTTCCTCTTCTCTTTGATGGGCTGCCCTATGTATTTAACGTGTCAGAAATAAGCCCAGGTAAGTGACAGATGAGAAACAGGCCACAGTGCTCTTGACAGACTTTGTCCAGAGCTATGTTCGGGGGAGGGAAAGCTACCTTCCAGGGGCCCTGAGTGGTATGCACGACTCACAGACTGAATCGTGTTTATTGCGTCTCTTATTTCTTTTTAAATTGTCCTCATTGCTGAGGAGCCCTTCAGGCAAAATCTAGATTTCGAAAACTGTTGATTAAACTGTGTTTCTCTGAACCCCCTGATTGCTTCCTTCTGTGTGTCTGAGTCCTCTAATCCTCTCTTTTTGTAGCCAAAGTTTTCCCTTGGTCTCCACTGTGATTTTTATCCAACTCACTCAGAGAATTGAAATTTAAAAATAGGGGAAAAGCTTTCCATTTCTAGAGTTTCTTCATTTAGAAACAAAATAAAGACTTTTTTCTTGCCCTTAATAGGATTCACCGGAGGCCTCTTTTTTTGCCCTTTATGACACCTGGACTTCTGCAGGCTCTTCCCACATTAAAGAAAGGACTCCCCACTTTCAGCTTCAGTTTCTCCCCAACTCTTCCAGTTTGAAGGTGGCCCTGTTAACTCCAGTATAATAGACATCATCACAGTGTTTGATCCTTTTATCATAGATACTTCTATATTTAAAAAAAAAAAAAAACCAAACACTCCTAAAATTATCTCCTTCCTCTTTTATTCTCTTCTTATAATGGTCTCCATTTCCTAACATTAAGTTTTAAACAAAACACAAAACAGGGTCTGATGGAAATGCTTCTAATTCTTTAACTCTTACCTAGTGAATAACAAATGCAACAGGAATAGGCTTTTTATGAATTCACGGATCTTCCTACAATTATTGATCACCTACTTTGGGTCAAGCAGTTACTGCTGGGGCTATGTAGTTGAATAAGAGGTTTCTGTCCTCAAGGAGTATAATTCATGAAAAAGGACTTCTACAAAATAGGCAAGCCGGAACTCTAGCAGCCCCACCAACATGATTTGTGAAATAAATGCAATGGAACAGTATTTTGAGCAAGGATTGATTGACACCTGTAAAATTTGTTAAAACATTCCTCTTGTAAGGAAATATAGTAATCTTAAGTTATATTTTAAAGAATCTATACTCTGTCATCCTCAGTTGCAAACTCTTAAAAATGGTTTATTTTTCATCTTGTGTAAAAGAGTAACTCGTGCTCATTATAGAAAAATGTGAAAAATACAAAAGACTTTTAGACACCATTGCTGCAAAAAGATGTGTGAGGATGTTCTTTGTAGCGTCGTTTATGATAGCCTAATGATTGGCGTGCTTGGAGTCTATGTAATGGCATACACTGTCTTTTACACCTCCCAGTACTACTTGGATCTTAGGGCCAGTGACTAGTGGGTGCTCGTTAGCATAATTTGAATGTACTAGAATTGAAGATGTGAGACATCATCAAAGGGGCCTCCAAAAACCTTTCTGCCCATGGCGCTGAGAACCGCTGCTCCTAGACCCTACCCATGTCCCAAAGCAGGACTAACCTCGGGCACTTTGTTCCTTCAGCTGGAACTAGGGTTGGACAGGTGCGAGCCTCTGATAAAGACTTCCCGCAGAGCAGCATCTTGTACTCCATCTCCACTGGAGGGGCCAGCCTCCGGTATCCAAACATATTTTGGATTAATCCCAAAATGGGAGAACTCCGGCTGGTGACTAAAGTGGACTACGAGACAACTCCCATCTATATTCTCCGAATCCAGGCCACCAACGGCGAGGACACGAGCTCAGCCACTGTGAGTGGGGCTGTTTGGTGCATTCACACCAGCCCAAATAGTTGACTTAGGGTCTCTCTGGTACCCTCCAGGTGCGGCTATGGCAATAAGGGATCTTCATAGGGCATATCCTGCAGATGTGACGGGAAATGACTATGGGTGTCCAAGATAGCCCAACTGGACACACAAAGCAGTGCCTAGGAAATAAAGATTGACACCCAAATGTGTGGGTGACTGGGAGGAGCGCTGAGATTGACGGCCACTCTGTGGGACAAGTACCCTCCTGTTGCCCTTTAAATCTCCCTTTGCTTTCACGGTGGGCTGCTGGAGAGAAACACAGGTGCCAGAAGCGGGGTGTGGTCTTATAGTTTTGCATTTCCTCCCTCCCTCCCAGTAGTGTTGCCATGTTCCTTCCCCACCCCCAACACACCAGATAGGGCAGATCCTAAAATGATGTGGCTTGGCATGGAGTTACACTGCTTCGCAACCTTTGGTAGTGGGAATCTGATTAAATGGAGATTCTGAGTTTGCAAGTCTGAGCAGGGCCTGACAATCTGCATTCTAAACCTGCTTCCAAGCGGCGCTGATGCAGCTAGCTGGTCCAGGGCTGTACTTTAAGCAACAAGGTTTTTATCAGGTCTGTGCTGTCAGCGGTTAGGATTATCTGAGGGTATTGTGATAGCCACAAAGATGGAACTATTTCTTGCTCTTTCCCATTAGTTAAGTGAAAAAGCATAAAACAAAATGAACTCTGAGCCGGCAGCAGGCAGCCCTCTGGGATGGAGAGAATGACTGGTTCAGAGTCAGGAGACCGAGTTCATTTCTCAACTTTGATCCCAATTTTCCAAGGGGGTCTGAGCCATGCTTATCGTTGTGTCCCAGTTTCTCTGTCTCTTAAATGGAGAGTCACTCGATCGCCTAATGCCTGACTAGTCCAGTTCCTCTCATGACTTGCTTTGAATTAACGGGATAATGGTTTTTAATGATGTGTGAGCCTCAGCATTGCCCGCTGAGGAAGAGATGTACTAAGTTGGAGATAATTGTAGTGTTTGTCAGGCTAGCTTTTTGAGAAAAATGAATGGATTCCACTTTGGGAGCTAACTAGAATGAACATTTCAATTTATTCCTGGGCTCAGAAATAGCCGAAATCCCCAAATTTCAAAGGTAGAATAAATACGACTCAAAATGCATAAGCTTTTAAAAAGAGTGATGATCACATAAGTCCCTTTTAGGGCTGACATTCTATGATTCTGCGCTGGCAGGTGTCCCAGTCCATATTCCAATTCACCAGGCATAAAAGACGGTGATGAAAGAGAATACACTGGCCCTGCTTGTGGCAGGTGAGCACCACCAGCTTAGTGCAGTGCTAATAGCCCAGGACATAGATGAGATCGGCTCAGCCAGGTGTGCTCATTCTATCCTGGTGGTTTTCCACCCTGGCTGCTTATTAGAATCAGCTGGGGGAACATTAAAACAGTGCCTGGGCCCCACCCTGCAGGGAGTCCAATTCGTTTGGTCTGGAGAGGGCCTGAGAACGCTGAGCCAAGGTTGAGAACCATTGTTCTATATTCCATAGTTAAAGATGCAACTTCCAATTCACAAGGGCAGTGAGCAAGAAAATACAGGGGGTCACCGTAAATCCATAATCATTACTGGAAAAACAATTCAGCATTATCTGGGGATGAGCCCGATGTGTCCTGGTGAATGTGTATGGGGGTACGTGGTACATATGTTATGTATATACATAACACATATATTATGTACATGTATGCATGTGTGTGCGCACACGCACACACATACACACACACAGAGTATAGAAGTCAATAGTATGGGACTTGGAGTAGAACAGACCTGCATGCTCTGGTACCAGCTGAATGGCCTTAGGTCAATTATCTAATCTCTCTAAGCCTCAGTTGCTTTATCTGTAGAATGGGAATGAGCATATTATCTATTTCAGAAAGAGTTAAATGAACTAGTCTGCAAAGGTGCACACAGTGAGCACTTAGTAAGTGTTAGCTACTAGCAATGGCCACCTTCTTGCTGTTCTAGGTTACTGTGAACATCCTGGATGAAAATGATGAAAAGCCAATTTGTATCCCAAACTCTTATTTCCTGGCCATCCCAGTGGATCTGAAAGTTGGCACAAATATTCAAAATTTCAAGCTGACATGTACTGATCGTGATTCCAGCCCCAGGTCTTTTCGTTACTCCATTGGCCCAGGTATAGTACCTGACATCGACAGTCCTGGCCCGGCTCTTGGGGTCAGAGGCCTTAGCCGCTGTTCAGCGGGTATGGGGTGGAGTCCGTGGGCACAGTGGGTATGGTTAGGAGGAAGCAGGCATGAGAGGTGTAATAGTCCCAGTGTCTCCCAGTCCTCCTCTTGGCTTCCCCTTCTCTCACCGAACTCTTCTCAGACTCCCACACGAGGCTGCCCAAATGCCCAAGGGAGAGTGAATCCCACTGATGGCGACACCTCCCCATAGTCTGATAGTTCCCAGACTATCACATGATTCATGAATCATATTAGTGTAGTTAAAATTTTTTATTTTAGTGAAACTGCTCCACCACCTCTTTTCCTGCAAGCTTGTAGTAGGGGGCAGGGAATCCCAGTCCTCTCTCTGGATAATAATAGATTAAATAGATTAAATGCATTTTGAAATGTGTCCTCAGGAATTCTCTTTTGCTCCATTCATTTTCTCTCTTTAAAAATATACCATTGTGGGGGAAAAAAGAGCACCCCTCAATGGAAATGAGACCAAAATAGCTCATCTAATGAAGTGCTGGGGCCAGAGATTTAAACCCAAACAAGCAGAGCAATTCCACGTGAAAGACTAAAAACCCATCTCGGCCGCCTGCTGAGCCCTGGCAGAGCATGAACTCTGAACAGCAGGAAGCCTCTCGAGCAGGCTGAGTCACAAAACCCAGGGGCAGAGACTGCCTTGAGACTGTAGTTGCCAAAGATGGAAATAATCCATACTGAGAACCTTCGGGCCTTTATGGGGCACTTCGCTCGCTGCTAAGAGAGTAAAAATTGCATCATCTCCTGCTCCATTTACTGGTTTTCAGTCGGTAATGAGTCTGGAGCCACCAGAGGAATGAACAGGGGCTGCTTGGGCAGGAAGCCTCCCTGCCTGGCTCCCTGAGCTGTGAGCCCTGAGCCCCAGCAGACTGTGAGAGAGGCGGGAATGGGGTGGATTCCGGAGGACTGGGGACTGCAATCCCTGCCAAGCCAGAAGGCACCTTGCTTTGGGGGACGTCCAGGACATCTGTCACCAGTTCAGTGTGACCAGCCAAGTTCCACGAAAGGCACAGAGTGAGTCTGGCCTATGGCTAGAGATGTGGCCCCTCTAGCCTCTTGCTGCCCACTCAGTGCTCTGAGTGTAAGTTATACGTTGTCACCTAATAAAAGCTGCATGATAAGGATTGGCTAGAGAGGCTAGGATTATGGAATCTCTGCCTGATGCTCTGCAAGATGGTGGCCATCTCCTGGGACAGGCATACCGTTGTCCTTTTCTGCTTTCATTCTCATTTCAGCCACAACTGGTTGTGAGCAAGAGTTTCTCTGTACTGAATGACTCTCTGGTATGGTTATGGCCGGTACCCCTGGTGCACTGGAAACACCGTGTGCACCCGAGGTGCGGAGGTTTTCAGAAAGGACCGGCTGCAGTGTTTCTCTAAACCTTTATTCTCACTGTCTTCTCTTCCTTTGCCCCAAATCCTTGTCTCAAATCTCATATAGGTAATGTCAACAGTCATTTCACCTTCTCTCCCAATGCTGGGTCCAACGTTACACGCCTGCTCCTTGCAACTCCCTTTGACTATACTGGTGGGCTTGATACGAACTGGGACTACAACCTACTCATCTACATAACTGATGACAACTTGCTGTCCAGCAGGAAGAAAGCAGAGGCTCTTGTTGAAACAGGGACAGTGACGCTGAGTATTAGTGTCATTCCTCACCCAACCACGATTGTCACCACGGCCCCCAGGGTAAGGGCTTTGGGACAGGGACTCCCCAGTTACATCCCTTGTGATTAACATTGACAGAGCTCCTTTTGCCCAGGAGAAATGTGGGATGAACTGAAAAGAATTGAGATATTAGGATGTTGCCAGGAATGGCAACCATGGGCTGGACTGGAGTGGCCACTGGAGAGTGGATAAAGGTTCGAATTAGACCTGGGACTAGGAGAACCGTTGAGTTTTCCTCTTCCGGTAAACAAAGGTGTGCATTTGTTCAGGGACTTGTGATAGATCAGGTATTGACCATCTATGTGGTGCTTGTAGCACAGGAGACAATTTTCAGGGGCACATGGCCAGTTGCCACTTTCACAACCCCTTCTCTGCTTGCTCTTAAGAGCCATGGCAAGTCCACATCTATGAAAGCAGGTAGCTGCCAGGTGCCCTTCTCCACTCCTTTTGAAGAGTCACCATGTACCAATCTATACCCTACTCCCCACCTCTACTCTATTAAAATTGATTCATTCAATCTACAAATTTTGATTTAAGACCTATAATATGCCAATCACTTTGGTGAGCAAGCTCCAAATGATCTCTACTCTCATGGAACTTATAGTATGGGTCAGTGGTTTTCACAGTGTGGTCCTCAGACTAGCAGCATCAGCATCACCTGGAAATTTATTAGAATTATACATTCTTGGGCCCACTCCAAAATATTAGAGTTATACCTCACCCAGACATGATCATCACCACGACCTCTTAGAAAAGATGTTAGAACCTGGAATCCCCAACTATATCTCCAGATCTATTAGATCAGAAACTCTGGAGATGGGGCCCAGCAATCTGTTTTTTCAATAAGCCTTCCAGGAGGTTCTGATGCGCACTAAAGTTTGAGAGCCACTTAACTAGAGGGGAAGATAGATTACAAACAAGTACGAAATTTAATAAAATAACTACATATTGTGGTAAATGGTAGGAAGAAAAATAAGTAGGTACCGTAATAGAACCAGTGTGATAAAGGAAGAGAGTCTTAGAATCTGACAAGATCATCTCCCCCTGCACCTTGGAGGAACTGGCTTATGTTTGTGCTGACTCTTTGTCCCCTTTCCTCCTGTTCCTAATAAAAATTACACCCTTGGTTGGCAGCCCTATAGTTGCAGGATGCCAGAGGAAAAGTAATCAGAACCCTAGAAAACCACCTAGGACAGGTGGCCCAATTCTGCTTCTCAGAATCTTACCAAGAACAGGTTAAGTTTCATCTCCAAGTGCTTGAGTGAATATTACCCCAGCGAATGGAGGCATAAGGTAGTCTTAAGGGCCTTCCGTTGTGGTAAGATCCAGTGAGATTCTCTGAGTAAGGACTTGCCACCTTTCTGGGGCTTACAACGTGTCCCAGTTGCGACATCTCCACTCCTGAAATCTCCATAACTTGTTTGTTATCTGTCTCCTACTCTAAGAAGCAAATTCTGAACTTGAGGTTGTACTGTGATATCAGCCCACTCATCTGGCAGCGCAGCTCGTAGTGAGTGAACACTGACAAAACTACAAAGTGTTAAAAAAACAACTTGCATGGCTCATGCCTTTCCAGTGAGAGACAACAGCTATATTAGTCCTTGGGTTATGCCACGTTTGGCAGGGGAAAAAAGCCATGGAATTTTTAGCTTTTGGGAAGGGTAAAAAGAGAATAAAATTAGGCCTAGGTTTGCTTTTCAGTTCCCTAAATGTTCTGGGTTTTGATCTAATGGATGTCTGGAAAGACTATAAATAAGGTGATGGGTTGAAGCAGCAAGAACTATGAGTACACAGATGCCCAATTTATAGAACAAGAACAAAGGGCAAAACAAACACTCAACAGGTGGGAGTGCTAATGCTGGAAACACTACCACCCTCCACTCACCCTTCCTCATCTCTGTCATTCAAGCCCAGGATCACCTACCAGATCCTGAAGAAAAATATATATTCTCCATCAGCGTGGTACGTGCCTTTTGTCATCACTCTGGGCTCCATATTGCTTCTGGGTCTCCTTGTTTCCCTGATCATCCTGTTGGCCAAAGCCATCCACACACACTGTCCCTGCAAGACTGGGAAGCACAAGAAGCCTCTGTAAGTTGCCAGTGGGCTGGGCCCTACCACCACATTCATTAGGACACTGTTTCCAGTGATATCAGGAGAGGGAAAGATAGAGATTGTGATTGCTTTTCAGGGTAGAGAGGGGGCTGGACTGAAGAAGGAAAAAGACATATGGAGAAAGAACCCTAGCTCGCCCTTGGTCCTGGTATACCCTCTTCATCACCTGCTGGGCCGGGAGACTCTTCCTTTGGTTTTCTTGGGCACCTGCCTTGTCCTTGATGTGTTTGCAATGAAATTGGGGCTTCGATCTCTTAGCGACTTGCCCTGAATAAATACTTTAGAAAAAAAAAGCCCAGTTGTGAGTAGTGTTAGAATATACTATGCTCTTATTTGTAAAATCTTGAATGGATGGGCTGAAATTAGAGGAAACACAAAAAAACTGATAAGGAAATTAAGCTTTTGGCTGCAGTGATTCAATTGGGCTTTTGTGTGACTAAATAACCATTGTTACTTTGCACGTGGCCCTGATCTCTCTTTCTCAAGAGCTGCAAACACAGGTCTGTTTTCTCTCCTGTAACACCCTGTGGAGTCTCTTTTACTGGCTAAAATGAGGTACTAGAGTGAAGTGAAAAGAACACCGAATTGAGATGAGCTTCCCCCAGAGCCAGTTTCTTGAGTCTCATTAGCTCTTACAACAAGAGCATGATGGTTCTGAGGCTGGGCTTTGGAATTAGACAAGGCCTGGGTTCAAATCCTAGCTCTACCATTTTCTGGGTATATGGCTTTGGGGAAGTGACGACCTCTGTGAATTTCAGTGTCCTTATTTGAAAACTAAACTGTTAGATGAGCATATGCAAAGAAAGCACTTAGCGCACTGTTCCTGATATAGAGTCAATGCTTAATACGCTATTTAAAAAATATTGTCGCATTATTTTTTATGGTCGATTGCGCTCAGGATTCTAGATTCCAAGTTTAGCTATACCCCAAGAATCCTGGGGTATTAGAACTTGAGTTTTGGAATTTCTCACCGGCAAAAAAGAAGGGGTGATAAGACTCATGTGCCTTTTAAAGGTATTTTGAAGATTAACTAGTACTATCAAATAATTTAAAACCTATGGATGAAAGACTGTATAAAAGTATAAGACATTAGCGGAAAGATGTACTTTGCATTTTGCCATTTTTATTAGGGAAGTTTGTTGCTATTGGCAACCTTGACTTCAAGGTAAGAAATCCTTGAGCATCTGCTGAAATTAAAAAAGGCATTTTTGTTTGGACTCTACCCCAAATTGATTTGAAGAAAAAAAATTGGCTCCAAAAGAGTAATGCCTAAGCTTGTAAGGATGGTTGTGCTCTCTGCAATGGGATTTGGTTGGAAGTTCTTTAAGGATGTCATCTAATAGATGCTGCAACTCACACGCCAAGGTAAGAAATCCTTGAGCATCTGCTGAAATTAAAAAAGGCATTTTTGTTTGGACTCTACCCCAAATTGATTTGAAGAAAAAAAATTGGCTCCAAAAGAGTAATGCCTAAGCTTGTAAGGATGGTTGTGCTCTCTGCAATGGGATTTGGTTGGAAGTTCTTTAAGGATGTCATCTAATAGATGCTGCAACTCATGAATTTATGGTTAAATGTTAAATATGCACCTTGAACCTGGTCGCTTTAACTTACATCCTAAATATTAATCATTTTCAACATGGTTGTCTTAAAAAAGAAAAACTAGCTAGTAATTCAGACTCAGACCTGTCCTCTCTGGAAATTAGTTGTAACATGTGGCAGCCAATATTTGTCCAATAGCAAGATAGAATGAAATTAGAGTCACAGTATTATAGAATCTAAGGTTATCATGGGAAGAGGCTTAGAGTCCAAGTCCAACTCTTCATGATACAGGTAACCAGAGTTTAACTGCTAGCCCTCCAACCTTCCTGCTGGGAGCTAAGCCATCAGCTCAGCTAGCTACTAGGGAGAAAAATAGGGCAGGAAGAATTGCTGGCCAGTCTGATTGGGGTTGTTATGCCCTCACCCAGTGTCATCAGAGAAGTTATATTCCCTCAAGTTCCACAAAGCAATAGTTTTCAAACTTATCAAACTCTCAGAATCCCCTTAGTCCCAAACCAATAGTGATGGAGCTGTTCTATTTGGAGCAGGAGTGGGAGCCCAGCCTTCGATTTAGTCCCCATCCTTGGCCCCTTTCAATCATCTCCTGGATCCCAAGGACTGCACTTACCCAAAGGCCCCATGCTGTAGTGGGTGTACCTGTGCAGAATAATCTCTTGTCTACAGGTTAATTCTTGTCTATTCTTTTTTTTTTTTTTCTCCCATAGGGTGAAGAAAGGAGGTATGTGTGTATGGTGCCTATCCCTTTTGTTCATTGCTGTTGTTATTTATTTGTTTGTTTATTTATTTATGCTTGTTCTGTTGTACTACATGAAAGGGCTCCAACTTGGCAGAGAATCAACATGCAATCCTGTCTTGGTGGGTTTTCAACCACAACATCCATAGATGGAATGAAACAGAGGTCACACGTAGCTGGAGAAAGGGAAGGGCCGGGTACACAGTGTCATTGGCTCACTTGGATTTTTCATTTTGGTCCACCTGTTCCCTACCAGAGTCACCTCCTAGTTCAACTTAAGCACCTAGAGGTCTGTTCCCCACCAAGTGGGACAGGAATGAAGAATTCTCTGCAGGTTAAACACAGACAATATCTATGCTCTGCTGCTCGCAGAGGGGCGTGACCCCTCCTGAGGACAGCTTATGTTCTGTATTAGACAGATGCTTTATTCTCAGATTGTAATGGATTTGATCATTTTCACAAGTTATTTAGATCAGGCTAGTTAGAAAGGGTTGCTGGGTGTGGTCAGATGGGCTGTGAGAACTGAATGATTTCAGGGGCATTGGTGAATTGTGCAAGAGCCATCTAGCCAACTCCAAGCTTGAGGAGATGTCACTAGCTGGCCCCTGATGTCTCAGGGAGAATCCAGGCTGTGGGGAGAGATGAGACAAAGAATTAGAAAGTGTGTGTTTAGAAAATGACTGCTTTAATAACCCTATCCATAGGCGTGTGTGTCTGACGTACGCAAAGCACATCTAAGCAGGGTTAGACTTTTGATTATTATGGTTATTAGTCATACTGAATGAGATGGTTTTAATAAATAAGATTTTTGAAAACTCTCACCCTAGTTACTTTTTAAAAGGGGCATAGGGAATGGATACAAAGAATCCTCACATTACAAACAAATATATCAGCTCAATCTTTCTTACCTATAAAGCCATTTAAAAACTGATTTCCTAGGTCCAATAATAACAATAAATTGGAAAAAGAGTAGAAAATATATTTTTTTTAGTTCCATGTATGGTGTGTGTATGTGTGTTTCTCAGAAGATGGAAAGCCATCAACAAACAATGTTGACAGACAGGAAATATTTTGCTAGGTCTGCAATACTGATTTCAAAGGCTGTTTAAGAGAAATCCCATTACGGGAATAAAATTTTAAGGTCAATTTAGTGTCCAAGAAGCTTAACGTCTGCCTGCTCTATTCCCAGCCAAAATGAAGTCTACTAAGGGAGAAGTCGTGGTGGTAAGTGTGCTTGGCTGTGGGGCACCTGGCTTGGGGGTGGGGGATGATGGGGGCACCCATCCCCCTCTCAGGCAGGCCCTGCCACAGCCTCATGGGGGTGTTTATCATTCAGGGAGATGCTTGTATTTGGCCACTGGAACAGATTGCTGTGTGACGAGCTCCTGATAGAATTTGTTCCCTCCACTGAACATGTCTGCTGATATATTTGCAGAAGAACTAGATTTCATAAATATTAAATAGTGGTGTTTATTATCTACACCAGCTCTCCAGGAGAGTGAGTTGGCAGAGAGGAGCTTGAAGACCAGAATTGAAGCTTCAGCCTTCAATGGGATTTATTTTTCCTTTGCTCTTCTATAACCTTTTGGAAAAAGTGATAAAGAGCAGTGCTTGGGTTTGGGAGTGGCTCTGCCCACTTGGCCATATAACTTTGTGGACTCCCTCAGCCTCTTTTAGCTTTAGAGTCCTCATTTGTGAAATGGGAGTGAGAGCACCTGCCCTGAGATAACAGGTAGAGAAACAGGTGAGATAACAGGTAGAGAAACATTTTGAAAAATTTTAAGAGTCACACAGACGCAAAGTGTTATAGGACAGCTGGGGAGTCACCTCCCACTTTACCTCCTTTTTTTTTTTTAACTGAACATGATCCACCCACAGGGAAGTGATGAAACTTGAAGGTGACACCCCTTCCCCGCTCCCCAGCTCTGCTCCATCACCTGATGATAAAACTTTGTTACGATCCAAGACCCATAACTTTAGGGAATGAGGAGGACAATCTGGTGTGCTGTAATTTTTGCTCCGTGTTCATACGCATAAGTACTTATAGGTTTGGTCTGTCTGCAGGCAGGAGGAAGAAGCAATCTCTTGTCTCCAGGTCTTATTGCAAGTACCCTTGGCGATGCTGCTCAGAGACTGCCTTAGAAATACGTAATATTAAATTAACCAATTAAATAAATAAATCCCAACAACCATAAAAAGTAAGGCTGCTGAGCTGATCAAATGGATGAAACCCATATGGGCTCTAATTCCTATTTCTTCAGTGTTGGGCAGCTGTGGGCAAGTGAGTAGATAAAAACTGGTGGTTGAAGGGCCCACTAAACTCCAAACATCCTCATAAGCGTAAAGAATGGCACCACTGGAGGGCACCATGCGAGGAAAGGGGGACAGAGGTTGGGTTCTGGAGGGTGGCACAGAGCGCAGATGAGGGGAAGACAAGGAGCACAGAACTTAGATAAGGCAGGTTAGTCCTTGATGAAACACTGCACTGACTAGGGAAGGGGACACAGCCGGAACCTGGACTGGGAGCACGTGGGTGCTCGTCGACGCCTGCCTTGCACGTTTGCCAGACAGACCCCACTTCGGCAGTGCAGACCTCAGCTGGCATTGCGGGGCATTTCTGCTCCTCCTTCTATGCAGCTTAGATATCATTTACTCAGGTGCTTTCATATGCCCCATGACTGGATTGAATGTCCTCCTTTCACTCCCATCTGTGCCCCCATAGCATCCTATATTCCCCCTCATAGCCCTTATCACTCTGTATTGTACCACCTGTTTGTCAATGGCGCCCACTTGATTGCTAGCTTTGTGTGGGCAGTAACCCCACCTGCCTCGTTCACAGCTGTGTCCCCAGCATTTGCACAGTGCCTATTGAATAATTAAATGTCAAGAAGACTCTGGTCAAGGAACTTGGGCTGTGAGGTTGAGCAGCCTTGCCTGAGGGGAGGCGTGAAGGGTTGGGCTTAAAGCTGTCTCTGTCTTCTCTTTAGGAAACAATCCAGATGAGCACTGTCTTTGATGGAGAAGCCATAGACCCAGGTAATCAAGTGGTAGTGCCACCCATCAGAGTGTTTTGCATATTCCAGAATATTCTGATATTCTTCTCTTAACTCAGTTTGTCAGTCTCTCTGGTTATGTTGCCTATACAGTGCTGACCCTTCTAGGCTTCTGTACAACATGAGATCAGCCCTGAACTGAGTTGGCTTGCAGATACACATGATCACGTGTGAGGCCTCATAGAGTTTCCACCTCCAGGCTCCACTCAAGGACCATGCCTCTGTCTAGGCCCCTCTGCCTAATCCATGAACCAGTTCAGGGAATTGGTGAATTCAAGAACCCACATTTTTTTTTCTTGCTTATTTGGATTCAACCCTTACCCCGCATCCTTTCTGAATGCTTCCAACACCATCCTCTTGGTAGTGAGAGATATGGAGAAATGGCAAGCTTGGCTTGTTTTTTTCTAGATCAGGGCCAAGAATTTCTTCTTGGTCGGAAAGATGAACATAAGGTAAAGCTGGCCTCCAGAGCTCTCATCACTCCCATGAAATCAGCTCCAAATTTAGCTCCTTTACACACATCCCTCCACTTACAAAGGCTCAATTATAGACGTGAATAAAGGGAAGGAAACCAAATTCAGGAAGCAAGTGTGTTGGCTTCCTGCCACTCACATGCAAACGGATCGGTCCTCCTCGGAAGGAGGATGGCTCCTCTCCAGGAGAGGCTGCTGCCGCTGCTGGAATTAAATTTCCCTCTATTATTAGGTACTTGTTACCATAATGTGCCCACATTAGCATAAGTGCTGGTGGGATCCTCAGCAGAGAGGCCACTCATGCTGCATAGAAATGGCAGGAGCAGGGGCTCGCCTGAAACTCCGAGGTAAAAGCTAGGCAGGACCAAGGCCGGTACCTTGCATTTATGTGTTTGAGAGAAGAAAAAAGAGAGAAATGAGCCAACTGGACGAACGTGAACAGACACATCAATTAGTGTCTGCTGGCTCAGACACAGTAAAAATGGCTTCCCTGCATCATCTCAACTGGGGCCAGATTTGTGTGTCTGTGTCTACAAATCTCCGCTGAGCTAATATAAATAAAAATCAAAGTCTTTTCCTCCTTACTTGGTGAATTCCTTTTAATAGCAGGAATTCAGGGTATACTTTTAAAACAAGCAAATCAGAATGAAATGGGTAACCCTATTAGAAATTGAACTCAATTTAGCCAAAGCTACCATGGAGTTCCAGATTTATGTGGCCTTCTAATCTCGAAACTGAGGTGGCCTTGAGAATCTCCTAAACCTTTCTATCTACAGAGGCATGGTATTTGTTACCTGTATGGTCAGAGCTGTGGAGAGGGAAGGCTAGTGACTCTTGCGCTCTTCACAAGCCTGCTTTCTATCTAAGTGATTCACACCTTTTAGCATATTTCATCTTTCCCTGGGGTGAGAATAGAGCAGGGTGGAGATGGGGGAAGAGAGAATCAATTGAATTCCTTTGTTTATATGGTTGTCGTTTATTTTTTCCCTAGTTACTGGGGCAAAATATGAATTCAACTCAAAAACTGGAGCCAGAAGGTGGAAAGATCCCTTACCGGAAATGCCACAGTGGAGAGAGTCTGGACCCCAAGGAGCTGCACTGAGCAGAGCGGTCTCTGAGGAAGGGACCAGGCCACTGAGGAGCACCGACAAGGAAGGAGATGGGCTGAGTGGCCAAGCGCAGGCAGAGGCTGCAGGCCCTGGTTTCAGAAGCCAGGATGGCAAGCCAGGCATCCCAAAGAACAGAAACGCAGCCCTCTCGAGCAGGTCTTCCCCCATGCTGCACCCAGGAATTTAAGCAGTCTGGTTGCTGGTCCCATGGCGGAGCACAGGGGAGGGACCTTTACTGAGGGAGGGACCTTGACCCTAAATTCCATGAGGGCATTTGAGTTTCCATAAAAGTCGAAATGTGGCCTGAAGGGACTTGGAGATCCAGAGTCCCAAGTGGGATGTTTAAAACAACGGAAAGGGCTTCGATCGCTTAGCTACCTTTTTCTGAGATGGTACAGAAGAAACTTCTCTCAGGTCTCTGTGCTTCTGATCAGCTGGACTGTTACCTTTCGGATGCAGAACCGTTGTGCTGCTTCTTCCCGTTGACTGCTGGGAAACTCCATTCGGATCACGCCTAGGAAGTGTGCAGAGCTCCCTGACATAAATGCCAAGAACCTCCCTCACATCCGATTTCACCTTATTTTGCTGGCCTCATTTTACTGTCACCCAGATTTCAACACCATACACCTTTGTAAGTCACTGGAAATCTTTTTCAAAAGAAGCAGGGCAGTGAAAAAAAGTGAGCAAGTGAATAATGAGCTGTTTATCTGGGAAGAAGAAAACAATAGACACTTTCTTTTATTCTCTCTTTTTTTTTATTGAGGTATAAATTATATTTAATAAGTGCACAGATATAAGTTATAGACTCCTCCCAGAGGCAACCACTATTCTAATCTTTATTGTCATAAATTAGTTTGGCTTTTTGAATTTTATATAAATGGAATTGCACAAAATGTGCTCTCTTGTGTCTCGTTTCTTTCGCTCAGCATCATGTCTGTGAGGTTCACCCATGTCATACTCAAAAACTGGAGTATGATCAGCAGTCAGATCTCTTCGCTATTGTGTTTTATCTTATTGTAGGAATATGGCATAATTTAGTTATCCATTCTGTATTTGGGTGACTGCTTCAGGTTTTTCACTATTATAAATCACAGCATTAGGAACTTTCTTGTACATGTTTCCTGATGAGCATAAACGCATATTTCTTCTGAGCATATTCCTAGGACTGGAAATGATCAAGCCATTGCTGGAATCTGCTGAGAATTCCAAATTTGGTGGCTCCAATCTACACTTCCACAGCAATGATTGAGAGTTCCGACTGCTTTACTTCCTTGCCAACACTTGGTGTTGTCAGTCCTTTTAATTTTAGCCATCTGGATTAAAATTTTTCTTGAAACGAATCACTCTTTTTCTTAAAGTTAAAAAACACCAATCTTACAACCTCCTTGCCCTGCTCCTCCCCTGCCTCCTATTAGAGGAGAACCACAGGACTCAGAGTGGGGACACAATGAGAAGCTCCAGCTAACCCTGCAACTGGGATTTTCACCTGTGGGTATGAGCAATGAACTAAAAATAAACCATACCACGATGTGATGGGAAATGGAACTCTTTGGCGTACGTCTAGAAAAAGCTGAGAAATCCTTGTTTTCCCTCCATGTCTTGCTCCCCAGCTGCTGAGACACTAATTCAATACTCACAAGATAGAACCAGGCGAGAGTGCTTTAGAGCTGCACCCTCTTCCCAGTTGGGGAGCCAGATGAGAACTCCCCACAATGGCCTGTAGGGGGCAGGCAGGATCCATCCTGCAAATGCAGAACTTAAGAGGAAGCAGCTGCTAGTTTATTGTGTGCCTGTTCACCAGTATGACTTCTCAAGAAAAAGAAACATTAAAAAATGCCCTGTCCTGGCCTAGAGCAGTCGTGATTTATTAATAAGGGTTGGTTGCCAGGGAACTTCCTTGAATAGGTTTAAATTTTGCAAAAGAAGGCAGAGCTGTTCATTTGTGGAGGTTAAAGTGGGTGAAGTAGCTGATTACCCATTTAAGACTCTGAAAGTCTGTGGATCCCTGAGTAAAACGCCTTCCTCAGAAGCACTCAGCCTCAATGCAAGTAAAATGAGGCTCAGAGAAGGCTGAAGGGGGACCTAATAACTGTTTATGAGCCCATTAAGGATGATTAAAAGGAGGGCGGTGAGCAGCTGTTCTCCCTTCTCCGGTGATGACAGGGGGAAAGGGAATCGTGCTTCTCGGCCAGAGAGATTTAAGTTAGGAAAAGGGAGGGACTTCCTGAGGGCTTGACGAGCTCGCTTCTTCGCTAGTGATAGACAGGGAGAACAGCTTGTTTTCCCAGCCCCACGACAAGGGGTACCAGGAGGCTTCGGCCAAGAGAAGCTCTGCCTTTTCTTTTCCATATTTGGCTATTTTATTAGAGGAAATCAGAAATCTGAGGTCCAGGGCTGAGGTCATTGGTTTCTAGCATTTACCAGTTTCTAAAATAAAGAAGTTATCTGAATGAAATAAAGCCACAGACCATTGTGGATCTTGTGAAAGTTTACTCCCATTTCTCTCCCAAGGCCTTAAACAAGTATGAATTTATTATAGCTAACGATGACCTGCCTGATTCTGAGTCATTATAAAATCGGGGCAAAGACGTTCGGGAATTAAACCTCAGTGGGACCCATAATTGTTGAGGGATTGAAACCGCTTGGTGAATTCTCAAGCTCGAGCCTTTAATCATGCTCGGTAGGAGGCAGGGACCACATCTCCACCTGCCTGTGTCAAAAGCCTGTGTGGCTCAGAAAAAGAAACTGGGCAACGACACGTGCACTCGTCAGAGCCCTCTCTCACGTCCGTAGTTCTACTGTTTGCATTTTCATGTCACGTGTTTTCTATATAATGGCTGAAAAAATTAAAGCAACAAAATGAGTGAATATAGAAAATGATCGCTATTGAAACTTGGCATTTCTTATTTCAGACTTAACGTGTGTGTTCATACCTCCCTTTCATTCAATAAATATTTACAGCGCATCTACTGTGTGCCAGGCATTGACTCGTTGGTAAACACAGCAGGCCCAGAGGCCTGCCCTTGAGGAACTTACGTCCTGTCTCCCACCGCTGAGTGCAGCCTGCTCTTGAGCCATCCCCGAGGTTCCAGTTCCAGTTCCATTTCCCAAAGTTCTAGTTCCAGTTCTATCTTGGCCTGTTTATCTCTTGGTATTTTGAGTGTTCTCCAAAAGGCAAATTAACCCAAACCTGGAATCTCCTTTCTGGAAAAAACAGATAGTTTGGAACCATTTAAATGTTTTTTAAAAAACTTAATGGAAGCCCTCGTCAGAAAATAGTTGAGATACCCAAACAGGGGCCCCAGCCTTGGGCTATCAGGTTAGCATCCTGTTTGTACACCTCCAGATGGCAGCTCTGAAGCAATTGTGACTTCTGTGTGTGGAGGATGGAAAGAGCCTGAGGTCAGTGAGACCTTTGATCTGGGGAACAAGGAAAAGGTCAAATGTAGGGTGAGGGAAGGTAGGGGACACTCAGATCACTGACACCCTCTTACGCGTCACCTGTATTGGAAGCGAGATGTGGCTCCTGTTCTAGGGGAACAATCCAACCGAGAGGAGAACAAGCTCATTGAAAAAACAGCCAGCTACCACATGAGCACTTTATGAGAACTAGATGAGTTTCATAAGTAGTTAGTGCTAGAGAAAGTAGACATGGGCCAGAGAGGTCTCTGAAAATATAATGGGAGACCTGGGATTTGAGTGGGATCTTAATGATAGAAATGAGCTCAAAATGAGAGAGAAGAGAAATTTTGACCAAAGGCTAAAGCATTCAGAATTCTGGTCTTCAATCCATTTCCCACCAATACTTGTTTTGTGTAACCTGGAGTGAATAACCACGACCCACTACAGAGCCTTCTGGGTATGTAGCAAGCACTCAACAGACATTTGTAGAATTGGATTGAATTAAGCAAGCTTGTAGTTGGTTTTCTATTCAGTTCATGTAGCCGAGTCACAATTTTTCTAACCAGATCTAGACAGACATTACTGAGTGCCCACAAGGTACCAGGCACGGTTCTAGACGCTGGCGAGCCAGCAGTAAATAAAGCAATATTCTTAATATTTATATCCTAATGAGAGACGAGACTGAATATACAAGTGAACAATGACCAAACCATATATAAAGATAGAACTCTGACCTATAACCTGCGGCAACCTGCCTAGGAGACCAATACCTTTTCCATGAAGCTGAGAAATCACTTTTTAACAAGCCCCAAGTGGCCAGGCCTTAATTAATACAACGAAGAGCTTCCCTAATTTTTGTCCTTGCTTCCAACTTAGAGAAAGCTAAATATACACCCTTAACAAATCACACAGGATGCCCCCCACCTACACTTTCCTCATGCCAACCGCCTCCAATCCAGGCACACCTGAAACCTTCCCTTTTGCCATTATAAAGATTTCCCACTCCCCTGCCCACCTTTGAGTCTGCTAAGATGCAAGCGTCAGTGGCTGACTCCCTCGCTATAGTAAGCTATGAATGAATAGTCTTTGCTTTTCTCATATGGTTGGTCGTTGTTCATTTCCACAGGGATAATAGACATATATATATATATAGTGGTAAATGCTATTGAGAAAAGTAAACTGGGTCAGGGTTACAGAGGGTGGGAATGGCCAACAGGGTGATCAGGGAAGGCCCCTATGGTCGGGTGGGAGTGAGGCAGTGGAGAAAGAACCATGCAGATAACTGGGCAGAGAGTACAAAGGCAAGGGTGAGGTGAGCAATAGAGTGATAAGTCTGAGGACTGAAGGAGGTGACTCCAGACAGGTGCGTGGGGGAGCGGGCATGCACCTGGAGGGGTGGGGCAGGGGTACGTGGTCTGTGAGGCGTGTGTGGCCGGGTTGGGGCATGGTGTGCTCATCACAGAGGGCCCCGTGGGCCATTGTAAAGACTTTGGCTTTTACTACTCTAAGGGTGATAGGGAGTCGTTGCAGGGTTTTGAGAAGAGGAATGACATAATTTGATTTATGTTTTGAAAGCATGTCTCTGATTGCTGATTTGAGAATGAATTTCAGGGAGGCGGCAGGGAACAGGGTTAGATTAACCCAGATTAGGCGGCTATTGGATTAATCCCAATATGAGATAGCAGTGGCTTGGTCCAGGCTGGCAGAGGTGGAGGATGGAGGAAGAGGGTGTATGAAAACCTTGCAGGACCTTCCTGAAGGAGTGTCCCAGCTATGAAGGGGAGTCCTGTTTTTTGGGCCCTACTCCTGTACTACATAAAGGGGCCCCAGCAGGGTTTAGCCCTGCCCTCTGTGGAAGCCACCAGAAACAGCTATTTCAGACCTTACTGAGCAGTTCTTCCCCAATGGGACCGCCCATCCTTCATCTGTGAAATCTGGTGCTATCAGGGGATGGTGGTCACGTGTATGGTGGGGAGAAAAGGGTAAAGATTTTGCTGCACTGAACTTCCTGCCAAGATTCCAAACCAGCTTCAAGGAAACAGAAGAAACAGGCCTGAATGGTGTTTTCTAGGTCTGTATTCCATACCCTGCTGTGAGAAAGAGGGCAGCACCTCATTCAAGCTGAACAGTGCATGAGATAAGGGCTCCGTCTGAAAAAGTGCAGCTCTGATCAAATGCCTTTCACCAGGAAACCTGTGTTGTATGAAAAAAATTGTCGCCTGTGACTCCTAAGAGAGTCTAAGTTCTTAGGAAACTCGTTTGTTCAGAGAGAAAAAAAGAAGTGTGTCCTGGAAAACTGGATCA